GCCCACACACACACACACTCCACCACACACCCTCCACCACACCCTCCCCCCCCCCACCCACACACACAACACTGACCAACGAACCCTTTCTCCGGTGGTAGCCGTCACCACATGGTGGCTCGACTGCCGGTGCTGTGGCTCCCCCGGAGCAGACATGCTTCTCCCCCTTCCGCCCCGCGTTGCGTGTTGCCTCGTGAGTCGGCTCGCTCTGCCAAGATTGGTTCCACCAACAATAACCCATATCGTTCATTTTATGGTTCCTGGCAAAACGCTGCCGCAGCTGTCCACACTTGTCATTCGCTGGTGCAAAACATGGGCAACCTACACTCTGCGCAGTACGCAGCGACGGGTATCGATCCTCGCGCTATCCGTGGTGATTCTGCTGATGACTCTTCCTCTACTTCCTCTTCCTCTTCCTCCTCCTCCTCTTCCTCCTCTTCTCGGCGCTCCTCGGTCTCGGACTCTTCGGCTTCGGACTCCTCCGACGACCACCCGGTGATCAACACCCCAACACCCACCGACCACCGCCTCAACAAGTCAGAGTCACTTGCTGTCGGTCGCTCAAACTCCCCGGGCAACAAGCGCCTTCAGGTTGTACGTACCTCTATGCCCCCCCTCCCCCCCTCCCCCCTCTCCCTCTCCCTCCCTCCCTCCTCCCCCTCTCCCCCCCAACCCCCTCCCCCCCTTCTTCCCATTTTGATCACACTCCGCCTGCTGCTGCCTTCTCCCCCTCCCCCCAACCCCATGCCCACCCTCGCGCAGCTGCTCTGTCGGGATGGGAGATTGGGGAAAGGGGAAGAGACTGTTCATGGCTGTGGTACGGATGAAGGTGTGGGTGGGTGACTCACGGCGGTTGGGCGGTTGCGGGCGAAAACGGTATGGTGCGGGCATTGGTCGACTTGGCTGTTATCGGCGGCGGTGTGGACGGCTGCTGTGGCTGGTGATGGTGGGCGTGATGTGGTTTGCGGGGGGGCGTGTGGGGGGGGACGTTGTGTATGTGGTTTGGTGAGCAGATGAAGAACGGATATCATGGCGGACGCAGGACGTCGGTCTCCGCGGAATCGATGACGCCGTCGACGGTGCCGCAGAAAAAGATTTTCCATCCCAAGTCTGCGCAGGCGCGGCGGCGGATTGCTGTGGCTGTGGCGGACAACCTCCTGTTCCGCAACCTCGATGAGGAGCAGAAGGAGGAGGTCTTTGACGCCATGTTTGAGAAGTTTGTGGAGCCGGGAGTCTCGATCATCACCCAGGGCGACGACGGCGACTACTTTTACGTGGTTGACTCTGGCGAGTTTGACATCTTTGTTCAAAAGGGAAGTGCACCGCCGGCCAAGGTGGTGACTGTCGGTGCCGGCGGCTCATTTGGTGAGCTTGCCCTGATGTACAACGCGCCGCGGGCGGCGACGTGCACGGCGACGCAGCGGTCGTCGGTCTGGGCCCTCGATCGGGTCACCTTCCGTCGCATGATCATGGACAACACCTCATCCAAGCGCAAGATGTACGAACGCTTCCTCCGGGAGGTCCCGGTCCTTGCAGACCTCTCCGACTCGGAAATTGCCAAGATCGCCGACGTGGTCGACCCGCTGCCGTTCAAGGACGGCGAGGTCATCATTCGCCAGGGTGATGCTGGTGACAAGTTTTACATTCTTGCCGAGGGCGCCGCATCGGTCAAGCAGAAGAAGGGCGACGCTGCCGAGCTCGAGCTCTGCCGTCTGCACAAGGGCAACTACTTTGGCGAGATCGCCCTGCTCACCGACCGCCCGCGCGCCGCCACCGTCGCCGCCTTTGGTGATTGCAAGGTCGTCTGCATCGACCGCCCGGCCTTTACCCGCCTCTTTGGTCCTGTTCAGGACATTCTTCGCCGCAACATCGGCAACTACAAGACCTACGAGTATATCCTCGCTTACGGCTCGTCCGACGACGCCGCCGCCTCTTCAGACGCCGCGCCCTCGTCCTGACCTGCGGCCTCCCATGGTTGTCACGTACTGCCCATGTTCCCCCTCGTCGTCGCCGTCTGCCTCTGCGCCTCTCAACTTGGGTAAACCCTCTGCTACCACACTCCCGCCCACCGAGACCAATCTCGCCAAGTGCCGCGTGGCGCAGGTCTCTGCGCCAGCCGGCAACACCCCTCTCCACACCCTTTCCCCGTTGGCCCCACAATCACCTGCGGCATGTCTTCTGCGCCCTCACCCATCATCCCGGCCAATGTCGACCTCTCTGAGCGACTCTCGACTGAAAACAAGACCCACACCAAGCAGTAGGTTGCTGCCTTGACCGTTTTGCCAGGCGTCGAGAGCGGGAGGTGCGGTCGAGCCGGGCGGCCATCAGGAGTTGTGGGAGTGCCACGTGGAGAGCGGGATGACAGACCACGTTTTTTTTTCCTTTGAACACTTTTTGAGACACTTTTGACCTGCAGGAGACTCACACCCGCAACAACCACGGCACTTTGCCCTGAACAAACGCTGGATAGAAACGCGCGGCCGACACTGCTTTCGGCGTTTCCGTTCCCAGTGCGGATGGTGATGAAGTCATGCGAGCGTTTACTGGCTCGGGCGCCGCGCCCGGCCAGGTCCGACTCACCTCGATCGGCTTCTCACACTATGTGGAAAAGGTGAGGTGGGCTCTCGACGTGGCCGGCATCGACTATGTGGAGGATCCACACGCGCCGGGCATGCACGTCCCGTTCGCCGACGCGGTGACGTCAGGGCGGTCGTCAATGACCCCGATCGTTTCCTGGCCGGACGGCCACTACACTCACGACTCGACGGCGGTCCTGCTCGAGCTCGACGACGTGTACGGGCTTGGGTGGTACGATCCGGACCAGACCGGCGATGCCGCTGTCACTGACGCCATTGTGCAGCTGGAGGACTACTTTGACGACATGCTCGGCGGGCCGTCGCGATCGTTTGTCTACGCCTACCTCCTCGCCGAGACAGAGCTCATGCGCGAGGTCTGCAACAACGTATCGACCGCCGCCGAGCGCGCCGTCCTTCCGGTCGCCTATAACGGCATCCTTTCCGGCATTCGCCGTAGCTTGCGCATCCATGACGAGGGTGCCCGGCTTGCGCAAGAGCAGATCGGCCGCGTCTTTGACAACGTTGAGGCTCTTCTTGCCGACGGTCGCTCGTACCTTGCAGGGACGACCAAGCCCTCGGCCGCAGACTTTACCTTTGCTGCCCTCGCCTACCCGATCCTCTTCCCGTCAGAGCACGAGTCACTGCTCTTTGCGCGCGAGCGCATGCCTGCCGCCGCCAAGCCGATCTTGGACGCCTTTGTTGCCCGGCCGGCCGGCCAGTTTGCGCTCCGCATGTACGCCGAGCATCGCTTCCCCGACTCGTACCACACCAAGCGCTTCAACGCCGCAGGCGTCCAGCAGATCATCCACAAGCGCGGCACTTATCCCAACTTTGCCGGCTGGGTGTACGCCACCATTGCGGCCTCGGTCGTTGTTGCCGGCGGCTGGGCCCTCAAGACCTGGCTCAACTGGTGACCCCGATCCGGCCTACCCAGTGGCCTCGTCTCCTTGGACGCCCGGAAGAGTAGTCACTCCAGCCTGGCCATCCTCGATCAACACCGTTGCATCTTCAGCCCAGTGCTCAACCTCGAGGGCTGCCGGTAAAACTGCCATTGGAATGTGGCCATGGTCGACGACATCGACGCAGCGCTCAGGACGCGGCGCGTCGCGCGCCACATCCACCACATACCAGCCGCCGCAGGCGCCACTATCGGCCCGCGGTGCATCAGTTCGCCTATTGTAAGCCAGGATTGTCGGCGACCAGAGCAGCGGTGGCGGATGCGGCGCCGAGGCATTGAATCCAGCAAACGATGCAAGAACCTCGCGGTCCGGAGAAGAGCTCAGCACGGCGGACAGTGCGACCGCCAGGGAGTTTTTCCCACTGGCAAGCGCGTGAGCAAGGCTAGCGTTGACCGGCACAACCGTGACGCTCTCCGAGAGTTGTGTCGCTGCATCGGGCGGGCACTCGGCGGCCCGCGGATAAACCGAGAGAACGGCGTCTGGGTGACCGGCAACCAGGCTTCCGAGCGCAGCGCCGAGCACCACATCCGGCGCCATCCAGCCCCAGTGGCTCACCCCGTGCTCGACAAGCCAACTCTCGAGTGCCGCCCCAATCCACGGCCCCGCCTTGGGCACATCGTCGCTTGCGGTAGTGCCGGTCGAGCCCAGCAGCGCTGCATACTCGGCCGGGGTGTGCCGCATGATGTGCAGCGATTGTGGGAGCTCGCGAACCTCGGCGTCTGCCGACGGACACGGCGGCAGGTCCGAAGACGGGCCAGCGAGAAGTACAAACTGAATGTCTGCAACCGGCGCCGCACCGCCCCACGCCGCGTCGAGCGCTGCGCACCACAGCGTCGTCCACCGCGGCCAGCCGGCAGAGGTTGGATGCGTGACGAAGAGCCGCACCACCACACCGTCTGCACCACCGTTGCCGCTATCAGTAGACGACGATGGCACCTTGCCTGATCCTCCCACATCCCCACCATTCTCTGGTGGGCGAGCATGGCCCTGATCGCCCGACAGGCCGTCGCCACGATGACCGCCGTCGCCGCCGCCGCCACCGCCACCGCCACCCGAGCTGATCCCAGTCACAGGACCGCCACCGCCGCCACCACCATCACCAGATCCCGAACTAAAATCCTCGCCCGTACCTCCCACCATGTCTCCCTCATCTGTTGTGGTTGCGGTGGTTGTCAGCGGTCCCGAGGTGTACCTCATCATCGGCCGTGTGTGCGGCGGCGGGTTGCCCGAGTGGACGACATACAACATGAGCAGAGTGAGGCAGAAGAGACCGAACCACATCAGCAGCCGCACCACAAAGCCATGTAGTGCATGGCGACTCACCCGAATATCTCGAAGCATTGATGTTGGTTGGCTCAAGTCAAGTCTTGCCCGTGGCCAGCCGCTTCGCCACCTCCTCCTGCTCCTGCCCGTGCCTGCTGCCAGGTAGAGGCACTGGATGTGGGCGCGGACCCTGATCGGACAAGGCCCCTTCCACACACACACACACACACACGCACGCATATGTATATATACATATATACACACACACACACACATGCACATGCGGGTGCGCAGAGTCACACCGATCGCCATGGTCATAATTACTGGGTGTGATCGCCTTGATCGTGGTCGAGCAAGCAGGGGCCCTGCACTGATCAGCCTCATCACCTCGAAACTGAACCCCATCACACTCCAAATACCACCACATGGACGTACAGTCGGCGGTAGTGTGTAGCCGCATGATCAGCCGAGATGCACACACAGGGTATGCCGCCCACGGTCGAGCGACCAAAGTTGGGCAATGATACGGTGCAACCACCTCACAACCTCCCTGTCCCCACACACACACAGACACACGACACAGCCCACACACACACACACACAAAGGACATGGTCAGATGCCGAAGAACCTCGCCGTATGTTCTTCTTGTCGTGGCGGCGTTTGTGGCGGGGGCGGTCTTCCAAATGACCTTGTTTCGTCTGTGGGACAGGCCACACACCACCACGTTGAGCACTCTTGCACGCCAGCCTGCTGTCAACCCGGCTCGCCCGCCTCCTCCTCTCCATGTGCCGACCACATCTCCGCATGTCACACACACTCCGGCCCCGTCTACCAGAGATCAGCTACCGCCGCCGCCGCCGCCGCTGCCGTCTTCGACTCCATCGCCGTCTTCGACTCCATCGCCGTCTGTCGACAACGCCCCGAGCGGACCATCAAGGTACTGGTCGGCCCGTACGACGAGCCGCCGTTCAGCGCCAGGACGCAGGAGCGGTACAAAGTCAAAGCCAAGACAGCCAAGGTCGGTGATGTCGTCGAGATTGTGGTCGAGAGCCCGCCGTTCTCGCGTGATCCGAACGAGGCCATGAACGCCGACAACAAAAAGTACACCTCTGGCGACTGCTACTGGATGGACGGCCGCATCCACGGCCTCAATCTCGAGCCGCTCTGCACCCAGGCGCCGCGGCCTCTGGTCGTGCCCAAGGTCGAGGCATGGAGCAAAGACCACGCTCCGAGGTGGTTTCCCAGCGACGACGTCTTTGCCACGGGTGGCGGCGTCAATGCAAAGTCCATCGACGCCGACGACTATGCCGAGTCGATGCGGATCATGCGCAAGCTACGCGACGCCGGGCCGGCCGAGGCGCTGGCGCTGTTTGAGCGCGCCTCGATCCGCGATCTCGGCCGCGCGCTCGGCCGCCGCGCCATGGTCCGGCACGGCGACTCGATTGCCTCGTTCCTCTCATCGTTTATGACGTGCCAGGGCGCCACCAGCGGCGACTTGTTGCCGTTCAACGCCAAGCTGCCACCGCGGCTGCAGTCCGACGACCCGGACGTCACCAACTTTGGTTACTTCCTGGTCTTTCCCGAGTTTGGCGGATTCAGCTTGCACCGCTCGTTCAACAAGGTCAACATGCGCGATCTGCGCGACACCATGGCTCGTGCCCACGTCATCGACTTTAACTTTGGCCTCCACTACCACGACATGGACGAGTATCGCCGCGACATGCGCGAGCTCCTCACCGAGATGCTGCCTTGGGCGCGCCAACAAGGCCACGTTGCCATCTTCCGCGAGACTTCGGCCCAGCACTTTTTCACCGCCTCGGGCATCGGTGAGTTTGAGGCCCAGGGCCACGACAAGTCGACCTCGTGCTTCCCGCTGGATCCTGCCGTAGTCAACGGCAGGCGCAACGCGGTCGTCCACGAGCTGCTCGACGAGCTCGATCCGGACCGCTCGGCCATCTTTGTCCTTCCTACTTCAATCTCACACGCTACTTCTACAACGAGCACATCGGCATGAAGGATGGCACACCGGGGCCTGACTGCACCCACATGTGCTACTCGTCTCTCCACGTCGACCAATACGTCGCCGCCCTCACTTCCATCATCTCGCGCAAGAACGCCATCGACGCCGCTGCCGACCCCTCCTTTGATCCCTCTGACATCGATCCTCTGGCATAGCAGACCAAGTGAATATCATGTCAAGCGGGCCAACCGTGTGTGTCAGCCGACCAATTGAAGCAAAACGGAGAGTGGTCAGGGCAAGCGACTCAACTTGCGGCGCCGACCATGGAGGTCTACGACGAGATCGAGGTGGAGGACATGGAGTACGACGAGGAGAAGGAGACGTACTACTACCCCTGCCCATGTGGCGACAAGTTCCAGATCACACGCACACAGCTGATGGAGGGCGAGGAGATTGCCACCTGCCCGTCATGCTCGCTGGTCATCATGGTGGTGTACGACCCGGACGACTTTGACGACGACGACGACGACTCTAGCTCTTCCGGCTCGTCCTCCGAGTAGCTTACCCCCTTCCTTACTTGCCTAGGTAGCTTTCTGTCGCCTGCTCTGCCCCCGCGCCCGCCGCCTTGCCCTTTGCTTGGCCTTGGAACATGCCGCCGCAAGCCCTTTTCCGGATCGTGGCGATGATCGCCGGCGTCGGCAGTTGCACGCTCTTGGGGGTAGGTCTCCGAGGCTCAGCCGGGCAACCTCTCTTCTGAGCTTCAATGGACGACGTTGCAGGGATGGGCTTTGCGCTTGCCGAGGCGCAGGCCTCGTACGATGCCGGAGGCGTGCCTGTGGGTGCCGCGCTTGTCGGCCACGACGGCTCTGTCGTCGGCGTCGGTCACAACCGGCGAGTGCAGGACGCCAATCCGCTATCGCACGGTGAGACGCAGTGCATGATGAACGTGGGTCGCCGGGCGAGCTATGCTGACCTCGTCATGTACACCACTCTTGCACCGTGCATGATGTGTGCCGGCACCATTGTCCAGTTTGGCATTCCACGCGTCGTCGTCGGTGAGGCCGCCAACTTTCCCGGCGAGCTTGACTTTCTCCGCGCCCGTGGCGTCAACGTTGTCGTCCTCGACCACAAGCCATGCATCGAGCTCATGGCCAAGTTTATCGCCGAAAAGCCCGAGCTGTGGAACGAGGACATTGGCGTGGCTCCCGATGCCTAGCCCGTCCTGCCCGGTCTGTCTGTGCCCATGCATGGCACAGTCGCGCCCATCGATCCGTCGCACCCATCGACTCCCCCATCCCCACCCCCTTCTTGGTGTGGCTCTGTGTATTGAACACTCTCCACCCCCCCTCCCCCTTCCCCATCCCCCCACCCCCACCCCCCCCAAAAGCAACTCGCCGCCGAATCGAATGGAAGCTCCGACCACACACTTCACACACACACTTCACCCACGACCACACACACACACACACACACACACACACACACGTACACGCACACACACCACCACCTCTTGCACACACAAATGGCAGTCAACGTGCTTGGGCTACCGCTGGTGAGCACGCTGCCGTACGTGTACCAGACGCCCGCGCTTGGAACAGGCGCGTACTCGGCGGTCTACCGCGGCAGCCTGGCCGAAACCACAGGGCACACGCCGCGGGTGGCTGGAGTCGGGCGCGATCTGCTCGCCGACGTGGCGCTCAAGGTGATCAAAAAGTCCGAGCTGGACGCCAAAGCGAGAGCCCGGCTGCGACACGAGGTCGAGCTGCACGGCTCGGTGGCCCACAGCTCTATCGTCCGCTTGCTGGACATGGTGGAGACGGCCGACGAGGTCGTCCTCGTCCTGGAGCGGATGGACGGCGGCGAGCTGTTTGACCGCATCGTGGCCATGCGCTCTTTCTGTGAGGCCGATGCCGCAGCTATCATGAAAAAGATCGTGGTGGGCGTGGCGCATTTGCACGCTGTGGGCATTGCGCACCGCGACCTCAAGCCTGAGAACATCCTCCTCGCTACCGACGACTTGGCCTCTGTCCGCATCGCCGACTTTGGCCTGGCCAAGCGCATCGGCGACGACGGCAACCTGCTGACCCCGTGCGGAACGCCGGGCTATCTCGCGCCAGAAGTCGCCTCGCTCTCGGCCTACGACCTCTCCGTCGACATGTGGTCGCTCGGCGTCGTCCTCTACACCATGCTCGCCGGCTTTCCGCCCTTCTACTCCACCTCGACCCGCAAACTGCTCAAGAAGATCAAGCGCGGCCGCTTTAACTTTCCTTCGCCCTACTGGGACGGCATCTCGGACGCCGCAAAGAACCTCGTCTGCGGCTTGCTCAACGTCGACGTCACGGCCCGCCTCTCCGCCGCAGAAGCCCTGGCCCACCCCTGGCTCGCGCCCAAGCTCCCGTCGCCCATCGCCCAGCCGCTGGCCGCCGACGCCGACGCGGAAAGTCAGCTTCCTTCGCCCCAGAACATGCGCGTCTGGTCCGCCCGCTCCGCCCGCGAAGGTGTCCAGGAGGTCAACGTCGCCCTCGCCATCGCCATCGACGCCCAGCGCGACGACTCAGCCGGCGGCGGCCTCGCCCTCTCAAACTCCTCGCTCTACAACCGCCGCAAGCGCGGGCTGCCGCAGCTCGCCCTCCCGTCGGCCACTGCCGCCGCTGCCGCCGCTGCCGCCGCCGTCACCAACTCAGCCGCCGCCTCCTCCTCCTCGCCGTCCGGAAACGACAGCCTCGACATCGACGGTGATGGCAATGACGACGATGATGATGATGATGATGATGATGATGATGATGATGAGATCTCCTCCCTCATCCAACCTCTGTAGCTAATCCTAAACCTGAATCTCCTCGCCCGGCTGCGCACTGTGCACAACCTGCATTCGTGTCCGCGAGCACAAACACCCCTCCCTTCCCCTGGTCCGGACTCTCCCCCTCTCCATCCATGGAAGCGCCCAAGTCAGAAGAATGGGCTACAAAACCACAAATCCGTGACCATGTCATGGCCACCTTTGCCGCCACCCCGTCATTCATGTTCTACATCGCAAAGGTACCTAAGCAAGCCCCCTTCCCCTCCCCCCCCCCCCCCGCCACACGTCCCCGCACACGCCCCGTGATCGATCACAAGCGCGAGTTGTCCTCTGCGGACCCCCCATCCGCACACGCCCGCACACACATGCAAAAGTCCCCACCCAAGGCCACCTTCTCCCCTCCCCGACGCACGACTTTTCCCTCTGTTGATAGCCGTGTGCTACAGCTCTGCGCCCAGGGTGTGTTGCGGAACGACCCCCCCCTCCCCCCCCCAACATGCGCGTCGCATTTGACGACCTTGTTCTCACCCTCCTCCTCACCCGTATGCCCTGCCGTTCCAGTCGACAAACGACAACATTGTGTGCTACCAGGCAGACATAGAGCCTCAGCTGGGGCCTGATAGGCGGGCCGTGTGGCGGAACGACGATGCGCCGGTGGCGGTCTTTTGGCAGCTCATCGACGAGGCGACCATGGTGGAGCGGTCGGCTAAGGGCAAGGACGATGTGACGTCCGAGCTGACGTATGTGCAGCGCAAGATGGCATATGGGTGCACAACTTTGCGGATTACGGAGGAGGACGTGTTGACCCAGCTGCGACGGATTGTGGCGTGCAACGCAGAGCTCATCGAAGTCCACCAGCTCCAGCTGGTCGCGCTTCCGGACAAGATGCTGCTGATGGTGGTGTACGAGGATCCTGCCATCGACTCGGTCGCGGCCGCCGCCGTGACGGTCATTGACGGCGAACTTGCGCTTCTCTCGCGGGTCTTTGTCAAGGTGGTGCCAGGCAAGTGGATCTCGGCCTGGCCAAAGGTGACGTACGCGCTTGTCGACGGCGTATCGTTTGTCTCGGGCGCACGAGTCCACGAGATGCTCCCTGCTGACGGCAGCGGCTCCAAAAAAGACAAAAAGGCTGCCGCCAAGGCCGCCAAGGCTTCCCGCGGCGCATCTGCAGTCCTCGCTGTCCTGCAGGCAGCTCTGCCGCCGGTCGAGCTGCATCACGGTGCGCTCCTCGGCGCATCGCTGGACACCCCGCCCATCGTGGTCCCGGACGCCTCACTGCGGCAGATGGTGGAACCCAAGGCCTCGCCGCTGGTCAAGGCTCTTGCGTCCATTCCAACCGAGTCGGGCTCGGCGCCTTCGCCGCTCGGCCGCATCCGCAGGCGCAAGCGGCGCTCCAAGTCGCGCGCAGCCAACAAGTCGAGCGCCACAACCAGCCCGCGCACCGCCGCCCCTGCCCGCCGCAAAATTGTGCTCTCCGAATCGCTCGAATGGTCCGACGACGATGACGGTGCCGATGCCGCGTCCGGCCCTGCCTTTCCCTCGCTCGAGCCCGAGACTCGCCGTAGCCATTCCGCCGCCACCGCCGATCCGGATAGTGACCCCGACCCCGACTCGGAGGTCTTTGTCACCGCCGACGACGGCTGCGGCGGCTGGCCGGACCTGGAGCTTTGATGCCTCCAGTTTTGGCACTAGGCGACTCGACAGCCGCTCCACTGAGTGTGTGACTGACGCTTGCCTGCATTGCGAGTGCGACGGCTCTGCACTGACCCACACTCTTCTCCGCTGGAGGTACGTAGTCAGTGTGGACATCCGCGACGGGCGCAGAAGAGCGCGTAAGCGCACGCAGCTATCAAGCATGATTGAAGGCGCATTGCGCGCAAGTTGGCGGATGCGCCGCGCATGACGCCCGTCTGGTGCAGCGCGGGCTGGAGCAGGTAGAGTATTGTGGAACACGGCCTCGTTTGGGCACGCGCGTTCCAAGCCGAGCTGCGCTGGAGACACGACACGATGCGGGCGTGTGCAGTGAAGAGGGAGAGCGGAGAGTGACGCGGGGGGTGTTACATGCAGTGCTACATCGCCCTGGCTGGGTGGCGGCCCTGCAGGGGCTCTGCTTCGCCTCCGCGACCTGGCTATGGGTGCCTTCTAGGAACACATCCGCTTGTCGTCAGCAGAGCATGCCAATATGGGGGCACCGAACTATTTTGCGGGTTTTTTTGCCCGCACGGAACAAGGGCATGCATCAATGTTCTTGTTCTGTTCTGTTCTGTTCTATTCTGCCGTGACATGCGCTTCCTCCCCACGTGGTCAACTCACCCCTACCTGTCAAGCTCGCAGAAGGCACAAGCAAAGACGGATACGAAGTCCGCTTCACAAACAACCGCGACCGCCATGGCGAGTCTCTCTGCAGAACGGCATGAGCATGGAAGCTCTGTCATCGACTACGAGTTTCTTGCGCCGGCCAACACCAATCTCTCCAAGTTTAACCTCGATGAGCTGCTCGCAGGCATGAACGAGGCCACTGCCAAGTTTGCCATTCCGCTCGACAATGACGGCAAGCTCCGCTGCGTCTACAATCACTGCCAGAGGCGGTTCGACGTCACGTCCGATGCGGTCAAGGAGGCCGCCGGCATCGTCGTCCTCGCCCCGCACATTCTCGCCCACTTTCGCGACCACGCCGCCGCCGGCGGCTCGCTCCTGTACTGGAACATCAAGCGGCTGAAGACCAAGCGGGTGTACGTTATGCCCAAGTTGCTCAAACGCAAACGTGAGCCGGTTATGCCGCCGCCGCCGCGCCTGGTCTCCGCGCCGTCGCCGGCGCTCTCGACCGCCGCCATCAAGTCGTCGGCCTCGCGCCCGGCGTCATCGCGGAGCAAGGCGTACCGCTCGCCGTCGCGGACTTTGGCCGAGAGCGCAAGCTCGGCCGGCGGGCACCGCCGGTCCACCACCCTGCCCAAGTACGTCGACGTGCCGGCGAGCAAGGTGCCGGAAGCATTGGCCGTTATCGCCGCCCACCAGGACACTCTCACCTCGACCGTCCGCCAGATCCCATTCACCAGCGCTGACGGTTCCATCGCGTACTACGCGGCTATCAAGACCCGCGCCGGCAAGTACTACTGCCTCCACCCCTCGTGCTCGGCTTCGATCTCACCCAACAACCTCAAAAAGCATATGGGCGTCCACCGGCGCAACGACTGCGGCGGCGCGGTCCCGGTGCCAGACTCGTCGTTTGACGTTGTCGGCCCGCCGCTGCCCAAGCTCCGCTCCGGCGCTGACCTCCCGCCGTCAAAGCGCCACCACGGCCTCTCCGCAGACGCGCGTCGCCCGCCGCTGCGCGCCCTCTCGCCAGCGGCCCGCGCCACCCTGGACAGCTCCGCCGCAGCCGGCAAGTACGCCTGCCCGCTTTCTGCGTGCTCCGTCATCTCGCCCACCCGCTCGTCTTTTGTGGCCCACATCGGGACCCACCACGACATCGAGGTGGCAAAGCCGTCTGCGCGCCGCCGCCTAGCTCACGCCACGGTTGGCGGTGCCCAGGCTGGACCAGAGGCTGAGGCTGAGGCCAGCGCATCCGCGCCCGTGCCCATGAACGTCGCCGCCCCTCCTCCGCCGTCGCACACGGCCGTCTGGGGCACCGCCGCCTCGTCATCGCCGCCATCGGCCTCGACTCTCCCGGCCGTCGCGCGCTCGTCGAAATCGCCGACGCCCGAACTGCGCGCAGCCACAGCTACCTCGCCGCCGCATCCCCCCGCCAAGCCCTCTCCCTCGGTTCTGGTTGCGGCTCCGCCGGCCCATGCCCGCGCCCGCTCCAAGGCCCGCCACTCGCCCGTTGGCAGCGCCCACATCCTGCCCATGCCGACCCCGTCGTCGCCGCTCCCGCTCTCGCGCACTTCCTCGCCCACCATCGAGGAGGCACGCAGGCGCATTCCGCACTCCGACTCGATTGCCTCGCCAATGCAGGGCAAGCCGGCGTCGGACTCTCCCTCGGGCTCGATGCCGCGGCTTGCACCCCGCATCGGATGACCCGTTTCTGTGTCCCCTCCCCTCCCCACTCGCACATATACTCTTTCATGTTTGATTCGTCATCCGCCTCCGCTCCCTCACTTGGCCGCGCTCCCCACCTCTTGCAGCATCTGCTGGATGCTCGCGATGTTCTCCTGCATCTCGTCGACCGTGTTCGACGTCAGGGTCTCCTTGCGGACGTTCGGATACAGCTCGTACGCGTCCTGCAGGACGACCTGGAAGATTTCGGCCTGCATGTTCTCCGTCACCTTCTTCTTGCTGTAGCCACGAGCCTCCAGCCGCGGGAACAGCGAGTTGGTCTCGGCCACCAGAACCACCACAAGATCGAACCACCGCTCCGGAAAGTAGTCGCACGACGCATAGTCCAGAATGACCCCACCCTCGCCCATCGCAGCCTCGATCGAGTCGCATGCATCCGCCAGGTTCTCCTCAGTAACGTCATGGGTATCAAACTCGGCATTGTACCCGGCGTTGAAGCCTCTGCAACCGCACACAGCACCAGCACCGAGCACAGCACCAAACACCAGTCCGAGCACAGCCACACGAACAGTACAGCACCAAGCAAACAGCCCCGAGTACACCGCACCAACCCCATCGCAGCCCATGTGAGCAAAAGCCTTTTCCAGCATCAACCATCGCACCTTCATACCATCCATGCCACCCTCATCACCATTGCCTTCCCCTCTCCCGCCCCTCCCCTCCGGTTCGACCTCCATCCTTCCCATCCCGCCCCATCACCGGTCCTTCCCCACCCAGCCGACAACGTACCCCTCGAGAAGGATTGAGCCAAAGTTGATGTGCTTCATGCCGGCCTCCTCGGCAAGCAGCTCACACATGGTGGTCTTGCCCACTCCGGGCGTTCCCGTCACAAGCACGTTCGGTCGGCTGCGCTGGCTCATGTCCCTTCGACGGTGTCAAGTGGCGCCGCCGCACGGCCTTTTCCTCAAAACGGCCATTCGAGCCACTTTGATCACCATCGCGATCGCCGCCATCTCCCCCACACACCCTCACCTCGGCGACAGCCACACCCCACACCGTGACCCACACAGAGACAATGAGTCTCGTGGCTGCGGAGAAGATTCCGCAGGGAGCGGTGGGAGCGCCAGAAGGTGTGGTCGACGCCCGTGGGCCCGAGGCTACACCGGGAGAAGCCGACGTCCTCGCCCGCGACATGGCCATTCTCCCTGCCAACTACAACTTTGAGGTCGGCAAGACCATCGCCCGGATCCGCGAACTGGGCGCAGGCAGGGTGGCGCTACAGATGCCCGAGGGGCTGCTGATGTACGCCTGCCTCATTGGCGATATTCTGGAGAAGCACACCGGAGCCGACGTGGTGGTCATGGGCGACGTGACCTACGGCGCGTGCTGCGTCGACGACTACACCGCCCGCGCCCTCGGCGCAGAGCTCCTGGTCCACTACGGCCACTCGTGCCTCGTCCCCATCTCGTCGACCTCGATTCCGGTCCTCTACGTCTTTGTCTCCATCGGCATTAACGTCGACCACTTTGTGGCCACCGTCGTCGCCAACTTTGCCCCGTCGGCCAAGCTCGCGCTCGTTGCCACCATCCAGTTTGTTTCCTCGCTCAAGGCCGCCGTCGTGGCCCTTCAGGACATCCACGGCTTTAGTCAGCTCTTTGTCCCGCAGGCCAAGCCGCTCTCCCCCGGCGAGATTCTCGGCTGCACCTCGCCCAAGCTTGCTACCGACGTCGAGGGCATCGTCTACCTCGCCGATGGGCGCTTCCACCTCGAGTCGATCATGATTGCCAACCCGACGCTTCCGGCCTACCAGTACGACCCGTTCACCAAGCGCATCACCGCCGAGTCGTATGCCCACGGCGACATGATGGCCGTCCGGCAGTCGGCCATCGCCGCCGCCGCCAACGCTCAGGTCTACGGCCTCATTCTCGGCACCCTCGGCCGCCAGGGCTCGCCGGCCATTCTCGACTACCTCAAGGGCCTTCTCACCGGAGCAGGCAAGACCTTTGTTGTCCTTCTCCTCTCAGAGATCTTCCCCGACAAGCTTGCGTCCATGTCTGCCGTCGGCGCCTGGATCCAGGTTGCCTGCCCGCGCCTCTCCATCGACTGGGGCGAGGCCTTTACTGCCGCCCCGCTGCTCAACCCGTACGAGGCCGCCGTCGCCCTTGGCGCCACGGCGTGGAAGCCCAACTACCCCATGGACTACTACGCAGAGCTGCCATCGGGGCCGTGGGCAAACTACTACGACGCCGACGCCGCAAAGGCCTCGGCACTCTCGCCCGAGGCTGCTGCTGCCAAGGCCGCCCGCCGCGCAAAGCGCAAGGCCGCCATGGCCGCCCGTCGCGCAAAGCTACTTGCTCGCAAGCAGAAGCAGAAGCAGAAGGAGGAGAAACAGGCGTCGACGTAACGCACATGTAAATCAAGGCGGCTTTGCTCTCTCGCCCTTGCTGCCTTTGCTCATTGGCTGCAGCGCTCCTACATCACCACACACTCTTCCTTCTTGCCGCGCTCAAACAGGTCCTTGTCCTGCTTCCTGCCACCGCCGCGCTTCAGCGCCTCGGCGTGCTCGCGCTCGATCCGGTCGCGCTCCTCAAACGACCGCGCCACGCGCTTCTTGCGCTCCTGCGCCGGGTGACGGTACGTCCGCACCTGCGTCTTGCGGTGGTAGAAGAAGACGCGGCCCTTGACGTCGTGGCCCATCCGCCAGTACCGCGGCAAGTCCTTGCCGTGTGCGTCGAACTTGGACAGCTTCTCCACCCTTGCCTCAGCCAGCTCGGGCGGCACGGCTCGCAGCTTTTCGATCTCGCCTTGTCGAACCTGCTCGTCCGACGAGATCGTACCGCTCGAGACCGACGAAGACGACGACGAAGACGACGACGAAGACGACGACGAAGACGACGACGAAGACGACGACGACGATGAAGAAGACGACAACACGACCGACGACGATGACGACGACGAGGAGGAAGCGTCCGGCGGCGGCGGTGGGGCATCCGCCACACCGCCTGCCTTGCTCTCGCTCAGCCCACCCCTCTTGTCCACCACTTTGCGCTTCCGCCGTTTCTTGCCCTTCCCCTTGCCCTTGCCCGACTCGACCACAGGCGGCGGCGGCGGCCCATCATCCGAGTCCAAGACGCCGCTCGCCTTTGACTTGCCCTTGCTCTTGCCCTTGCCCTTTCCTTTGCCCTTGTGCGCTGGTGCCTCGGGCGCCGCAGCTTCATCGCTCTCGGAGCTCTCCATCACAGCCTTGGCCTTGGCCTTGGTCCGGGTCTTCTCCTTGGCCTCGGCCTTGGCCCTGGCCTTGGCTTCCGCCGTGGCCTTGGCCTTGGCTTCCGCCTTGGCCTTGGCCTTCTTTTGGTCTTGGCCTTGGCCACCTTAGCGGCGGCGGCTCGGCGGGTAAACGAGTCATTGGATGCCTCGTCATCCGACTCGCTGTCGGCAGGCGGCAACGGTGGTGACGGCCCGTCGTCCGATTCAGATGAGAACGCAGGCTTGTCAGTGACGCCACCTGACTTGCGCGCTGGCTTCGCCACATCCTTGGTTTGGGCCTTGGCTTTGACCTTGGCCTTGGCCTTGGCCACAGGCTTGCGCTTACCGGTCCGCACCCGCTTCTTCACCATCCGGTGCTTCTTCTTGCGGACTTTGACGGTCTTGGGTCCGCTCGAGGGCGTCGCCTTGGCCGAGAACGGGTCCCACTCGTCGTCCGACTGCGCAAACAGGTCATCATCGCCGCCGTCAGCAAAGACCGAGCCTCCAAACGCGCTCGCGCCAAACGGATCAAACAGCGATGAGTTGCCGTCCGGCACCGCTCCACCCACAGTCTCCTCCACTTCAGAGTAGAACGACTCCTGAGTGTACTCGCTGGCGTATTCGTACGAGCCCAGCTCGTCGGATCCCGCCGCGCCCACATACGTCCCGTCCGCCCCCGAGTCCAAGGTCGGCCCCGGCCCCGAGCCCGAGTCCGAGCCCGAGAGTGGATGCGGCGACTTGGGCGGCGGCGGTGGTGGCGAAGACGACGACGATGACAACGCCACCGGCGCAGCGCCCGGTGACAGCGAGTCCGAGCCGGGATCCTCACGGAGCCCAGCTTTCTCCTTGCCCTTGCCCTTACCCTTACCCTTGCCCTTGCCCTTGCCCTTGCCCATTTTCGACCGCGCCTTCTTCGACCGCGCCTTCTTGGACTTGGACCGCGCCCTGTCCGAGCTGCTGACACTCGAGCTCGAGCTCGAGCTGGAGCCACTGCTCGAGCTGCTCGAGTCGGTCGAGCTTGAGCTTCCATGCCGCCCGCGCCGCCGGCCCTTGCGTCTGCGCCTGCGCCCACGCCCGCGGTTCCGCTCGCTGTGTCCGCGCCGACGTCGTCGCCCGACATCGACGTCAACGTCGACTGGCGAGAGCGTGCCGTCGGCCCGGGCCTTGGCCCGCGCAGCCTCGACCCGCGCCCGCAGCGCCTCGCGCTTCTTTTTCCGCTCGAGCTCGATGCGCTCAGCCTGGTCCGACATCCGCTTCAGCACCCCGCCCGAGCCAACCGCCATGTTCCGCTCGCCACCAAACCGCAGCGCAATGGGTGCGGTGACACCGTCATTGTAGAAGCCATCGCCCTCGGCCTCGTCGTCCATGACGGAAAAGGCCTTGCTCCGTCGGGCCCGCCGCGACCGCCGCGACGACCGGCCCCCGTCTTCCAGCTCGGCCTCGAGCTCGCGTCGCAGCGAACGCTCAGCCTCGAGCTCGGCCTCAATGGCCTCAAGCTCGAGCTCCTTGGCAGACTTGGCAGACTGGACTACCTCGGCAGCGGTGCTGAGGTCGTGCACCAGGTCGTGCACCAGGCCTTCCAGCTGCTTGACCCGTGCAGAGTCCTCCGGCATGGTTGGCAGGTGCGCGAGCACCTCGGGCGGCGGCGGCGGCGGCCCGTCGTCGTCATCCACGACAAGCATCTCCGGTGGCGGCGGATGCAGATCGTCCGACAACGGCGGCAACCCGCTCACCACCGGCATAGGAATGACTGGCCGCACAGGCGGGAGCGACCCACCGACCACAGCCATTGCGTCCGGGCGCACAACCACCGCGGGCAGGATCAAAGGCATCATGCCTCCACCACCGCCCGCCACATACCGCCGCGAGCTTCCCCGCCGTCCGCGCGGCGAGCCCGAGTCAGAGTACGAGTACGACGCTCGCCGAGACCGGCGCGACCGACGCCCAGAACGCGAGGAACGGCCCGACCGCCCAGAACGGCTCGACCGCCCAAAACGCCCAGAACGCCCAGAACGCCCAGAGCGCCTGCTCCGGCTGCTACGCCCGCTTCGGCTGCTGCGCTCGCGCCGCTCGCTCGGGCGCACATCGTCACGCTGGCCGCTTCGCGAGCTCCGCGAGGTGGCATGGTCGCGGCCACGCTCTTGCGAAGCCGAAATTGGCTCCTGAGCCGGCATCCGGCCCGAGCCCGAGCCCGAGCCCGACCCGCTCCGCGAGTCGGACACGTCTGCCCGTGCCGGGACCGACTTGACGTCAACCTCATCGTTGAACCGCACCGACCGCGCGCCGGCATCAACCGAGGTGTCGCCGTCAGTGGTGAACAGGTCGTCGCCGCCGTCGGACTTGTCCGAGCCGGTCTCGACAGCGCCGTCAGTTGCTCCGCCGCGCTGCAGCTCAGATCTTGGCTCAGGCTCGGGCTCAGGCTCGGGTTCAGACTCGGGCTCGGGCTCGGGCTCAGGCTCAGGCTCAGGCTCAGGCTTGGCGGCCTTGGTCACCGGCGCGCCAAAGACCGATGAGCCGCCCCACGGATCGTCGCCTCCGGCACCAAAGATGTCGTCGTCGTCGTCGTCAGCAAAGCCAGCAAAGTTGGAAAACGCCGGCGCCGCCGGCTTGGGCTTGGACTTGGCCGCCCCAGGTGCGCCGAACATCGAGCTGGCGTCGGCGCCGCCGCCGAGTGAGGCAAACGCCGCAAATGGATCGCCACCCAGATCGTCATCGTTATCCATAAAGCCGGAAAACGCACCCGGCGGCGGCGTCGCTCCATGAGCTGGCGTCCGCGTCGCAGGCTTCTTCTTGGTACTCTTCTTGACAGACTTTTTCTTCTTGACAGACTTTTTGCCGCTCTTCTTGGTCGACTTTTTGCCGCCCTTCTTCTTGGTCGACTTCTTTTTGCTCGCCTTGGCTTCGGGCTGAGGTTCAGCCTTGGCCTCGGCCGGTGCACTAGCAAACAGCGACGTATCGTCGTCGTCACCGTCGCCGAACAGCGTCGACTTGCCAGTCGAGCCAAACATGTCCTCATCGTCGGCTGCAGACTTGCCTGTCTTGGTCTTGGTCTTGGTCTTGGTCTTGGTCTTGGTCTTGGTCTTAGCCTTGGCTGACGCCTTGCCGCCGCCAAACAGGTCATCGTCGTCTTCTTCGTCCCCGCCAAACATTGACGCAGCCGCGGTTGGAGTCGCTGAACTCTTGCTCGTCTTGGCCTTGCCGCCACCAAACAGCACGTCGTCGTCATCGTCGTCATCTCCGCCAAACATCGATGCAGCCGCACTCGCGGTACTTCTGCTCGTCTTGGTCTTGGTCTTGGCCTCGGTCTTGGTCTTGGTCTTTGCGCTCGACGCACCATCTGAGGCGTTTGCCGACTTTGCAGCTGCACCCTTCTTGGTCGACGTTTTGCCCTTGCCGCCCTTCTTGGTCGACTTCTTCCCGCCCTTGCCACCCTTCTTCTTGGTCGACTTCTTGCCCTTCTTCTTTCCGCCTCCGCCTCCGCCTCCGCCTCCGCCACTGAGCGGATCATTGAGCGGATCGCTGAGCGGATCATTGAGCGGATCATCATCAACCTTGACCTTGCTCACCTTTGCACTCTTCCCACCTCCTCCCGCCTTGCCAGTGGAAGCAGCGCCCGAGGAGCCCATCGAAGCCGCCGCACCGCCCGTCTTGGCCTTGGTCTTGGCACCACCTGAGCTCGCCGTTTTGCTCTTACTTCCACCGGAGAACAGCGCTACCCCCACCACCACACACACACACGCACATACCCCACCAGCCCTTTCATGAGTACCTCCTCTTCTCACGCCCCCCGGCATGCGCGTGACACAGGCTCACACCCGTCCACCAGCCGTCGGCCCTCGGAGCGAATTTTCCCTCAAGTCACGCAGCCGACACAGGGCACCCGGCACACACACGCGCACACACACACACACACACACACACACACACACACACACGCACACACACACACACACGCGACAAGGATGTAGTGGAAGAGAAGGTCATGGGGTACATACACATGTCGTCATCGTCGTCGTCTCCAAACAAACTAGACTTGGGCTCGTCAAACAGCGACGCCGCCATCTCACCCTCTCTCTCTCCCTCCCCTAGACTCGGGCAGGAGAGACAGTGGCGTGTGAGCGGGTTGCGCTGGCGGTGTGGCTGGCTCAAAGGCTGCGCTGCTGGCTCGTTGGCCCGCCACAAAAAAATTGTGTGCTGCTTGTCGAATTACGATTGTTGATTGGTGCTGGTTTGTTGGTGGGCAGCACGAGACGAAAATTGCTGTGAGCAGCAAAGGAGAGGCACGGACAGACATTTTGCGGCAAGAGCACTCTGAACAAGGGCTTCGCCGCGAGTATTCGCTTCTCTCACATTGTGACATAGAGTATGTGTATGGAGGGGGTGCCACGTCTGAAGGGCATGGGTCATTGCGTGGGGAGGGAGAGGAAGTGCGCTGACTCACGTGTGTGGTTGACCCGTTGCAGAGACCATGCTCCGTCCCACGCTTTTCGCGGCCTTGGCTTGTCTGCTTATGCTGACGCTAGCCGCGCGTGCTGCCATGGCAGCAACTATTTCCGTTTCGACCACTTCGCAACTGACCAACGCCATCAACTCGGTCTCCCCCGGAGACACTATCGAGTTGGCGGCTGGTGCCTCGTTCAACTACGCTGGAGTGACTCGGCTGACATGTGACGTCGATGGTACGGCCTCCAACCCTATCACCGTCCGTGGCCTGCCTGGCTCGACCATGACCTGGACCCACTCCTCCAACTACGTCGAGGGTTTTGTGGTTACTGGCAAGCATTGGATTTTCGAGGACCTCGACATCACCGGCACCTGCTCCAACCACAACTACTGCGAGCACGCGTTCCACGTCCAGGGCGACGCTGACTTTTTCGTCATGCGCCGCTGCGTCATCCGCGACTTTAACGCCCAGATCAAGTCGAACATCGGGGGTGGCCAGTTCCCTGACGATTGTCTCCTCGAGCACAACGAGTTCTACAACACCGGCGGGCGCCGGACCTCAGCGCCGGTCACCCCGGCCAACATCGATGGTGGCGAGCGGTGGATTGTCCGCAACAACTACTTCCACGATGCGTGGAAGGACGGCGGCAACACCATCTCGTACCAGACGTTCATGAAGTCCAACGGCGCCGACGGCATCTACGAGGGCAACCTCATCGCCTGCTCGGTCCTCCACTCGGGCGGCGTGCGCATCGGTATTTCGTTTGGCGGCGGCGGCACGTCGCCAGACTCGGTGTGCGGGCAGGGGACATGCAACCCGGAGCACCGCCGCGGCATCATGCGCAACAACGTGATCATCAACTGCGCCGCCATCGGCATCTACCTCAACGAGGCGCGCGACACCAAGATCTACAACAACATCCTGTACAACACCGACGGCATCGACGTGCGGTTCGCAACCTCGACCGCCGACATCCGCAACAACATCATCGCCGGCGGCGACATCTCTGACCGCGACGGCGGCTCGTCGACCAGTGGCTCCAACTGGCTCACCAGCACTGCCGTGGCTGCCTCTGCCTTTGTCGATGCCGCAGGCGGCGACTTCCGTCTCTCCGGCGACTCGTCGCAGCGGTCGAACTTTATCAACGCTGGCGTTTCGCTGTCGCAGGTCACCAACGACTTTTGCCGGCGCTCCCGGAGCTCGCCGCACGACATCGGCGCGGTCGACTACTCGCAGGGCTCGTGTGACACTTCGGATCCGCTGGCAGTCGGCGGCGGGACGCCATCTCCGACCCCCGCCCCGACCCCGACCCCGGCCCCGACCCCGACCCCGGCCCCGACCCCGGGACCAGTCATGTGCTCCGGTACCTCCGTCATCAACTCGGGCACATCGGGCACCATCTCGATGCCGACGCCGTTCTCGACCACCTACTACTACGGCAACAACCGTGACTGCACCTGGGACTTCCAGTTTCCGGCTGGGGCCACGATCTCGTTCACCGCCACCGAGTTCAACACCGAAGCCAACTACGACTTCCTGACCCTCTCCACCGGCCAGCAGTACTCGGGCACTTCGATCCCGACCATTGCCTCGATCCCTGGCAACGGCAACATCCGGTTCACCTCGGATGGCTCCACCAGCGGCAACGGCTTTGTCCTCGACTGGTCGCTGACGCCTGCACCCACCCCGGCCCCGACCCCGGCCCCAACCCCGGCCCCGACTCCGGCCCCGACTCCGGCCCCGACCCCGGCCCCGACTCCGGCTCCCACCCCGGCTCCAACTCCGGCTCCCACCCCCACCCCAGGCACTCCCTGCTCCGGTACGGTCTTGCTCTCGGGTACCTCGGGCCGGATCTCGATCCCCGACCCATACGACCCAGCCGGCACCTACGGCCACAACCTCGACTGTCGCTGGACGTGGACCCACCCGCTCTCGGCGCAGGTCTCGTTCAACGTCATTCACTTCAACACTGAGCCCGATTACGACTGGGTCTACCTCACGGACTCGGCGCCGTCGTCGTGGCAGTACACCGGCTCGCCCACAACCCTGCCGACAATCGGCGGCGACGGCACCTTCCGCTTTGTGAGCGATGGCAACACCGCCGAGGCTGGCGTCGTCGTTGACTGGACTGTGACCGGCGCCACCCCGGCGCCAACTCCTGCCCCGACCCCGGCTCCCACTCCGAGCCCGGGACCGGTCATGTGCTCCGGTACCACTGTCATCAACTCGGGCACATCGGGCACCATCTCGATGCCGACGCCGTTCTCGACCACCTACTACTACGGCAACAACCGTGACTGCACCTGGGACTTCCAGTTTCCGGCTGGGGCCACGATCTCGTTCACCGCCACCGAGTTCAACACCGAAGCCAACTACGACTTCCTGACCCTCTCCACCGGCCAGCAGTACTCGGGCACTTCGATCCCGACCATTGCCTCGATCCCTGGCAACGGCAACATCCGGTTCACCTCGGATGGCTCCACCAGCGGCAACGGCTTTGTTCTCAACTGGTCGGTTTCGTCATCGCCGTCCACCCCGGCCCCGACACCGACTCCAGCTCCGACACCGACCCCGGCACCAGGCCCTGGCCCCGCCCCGCCCCCGGTCACCGTCACCGTGAGCTCTGCGTCTGCGCTCACCAACGCCATCGCCAACGCCTCGCCGGGCGACGTCATCGGCATCTCGGGCTCGATCACCTTCAACTCGCTTCGTCGCATCTCGTGCTCGCGCTCGGGCACGTCGTCGAACCCGATCACCGTCCGCGGCCTCCCTGGCCACAAGCTCTACTTTTCGCATTCGTCCAACTACGTCGAGGGTTTTGTGGTCACCGCCAAGCACTGGATTTTCGAGGACCTCGACATCACCGGCACCTGCTCCAACCACAACTACTGCGAGCACGCGTTCCACGTCCAGGGCGACGCTGACTTTTTCGTCATGCGCCGCTGCGTCATCCGCGACTTTAACGCCCAGATCAAGTCGAACATCGGGAGTGGCCAGTTCCCTGACGATTGTCTCCTCGAGCACAACGAGTTCTACAACACTGGCGGGCGCCGGACCTCAGCGCCGGTCACCCCGGCCAACATCGATGGTGGCGAGCGGTGGATTGTCCGCAACAACTACTTCCACGATGCGTGGAAGGACGGCGGCAACACCATCTCGTACCAGACGTTCATGAAGTCCAACGGCGCCGACGGCATCTACGAGGGCAACCTCATCGCCTGCTCGGTCCTCCACTCGGGCGGCGTGCGCATCGGTATTTCGTTTGGCGGCGGCGGCACGTCGCCAGACTCGGTGTGCGGGCAGGGGACATGCAACCCGGAGCACCGCCGCGGCATCATGCGCAACAACGTGATCATCAACTGCGCCGCCATCGGCATCTACCTCAACGAGGCGCGCGACACCAAGATCTACAACAACATCCTGTACAACACCGACGGCATCGACGTGCGGTTCGACACCTCGACCGCCGACATCCGCAACAACATCATCGCCGGCGGCGACATCTCTGACCGCAACGGCGGCTCGTCGACCAGTGGCTCCAACTGGCTCACCACCGTTGCTGCCGCCCGCAGTGCCTTTGTTGATCCTGACAGCGGCGACTTCCGTCTCTCTGGCGACTCGTCGCAGCGGTCGAACTTTATCAATGCTGGCGTTTCGCTGTCGCAGGTCACCAACGACTTTTGCCGGCGCTCCCGGAGCTCGCCGCACGACATCGGCGCGGTCGACTACTCGCAGGGTGCGTGCGACACGTCGAACCCGCTGGCGGTAACAGGCCCGACTGGTGGTGCCGGCGCGCAACAGGGTGCGTCGGTCCAGTCCAAGTCGACACCGGTCATGTCGCCGACCGCTACGTATGTGACGGTTGCCGGGTCGGGCTTTGCGCTCATTGCGGTGGCCGTCATCGCCCTGGCCGTGCTTGTCCGATCCCGCCGCCGCCGCGCTCGTGCTGCCGCCGCCCGCGACTCAGACGCTGCCGCTCTGGAACTCGTGGCGTGGGGTATCGCGCCGACTGACGCGATGCCAGAGTCGGAGGGCAAGGCCCCGACGCTCCCGCCGCCGGCCGCCCCGTCGCTGCCTCCGCCGCCGGCGCCGGCCACGGTCGCCACCCATCGCACCCTTCTCTACGCCTTTGCCGGAACCGCCGCAGACGAGCTCGCCTGTGCAGCCGGCGATCAGGTCGAGGTGCTCGAGGAGTTTGACGACGGGTGGTGCAGTGCCCGCAACATTGCCACCGGTGCTACCGGCGCTCTTCCGCTCAACTACCTCCAGTAGACCGGAGAGAAGTAAAGTTCTCAGTTTTGTGCTTATTGCAGTCGCACGGCACCTCATCACGCACACGCTTCTGTCTACCGCTGCTCAGCTAGCAGCGCTTCGATCCGGTCCTCGGCGTCGATCCAGTCAGCCTCGGCGGCAGCGGCCCTGGCCTCCAGCGCCTCGTTCTCTTCCAGCAGGAGCGCCATATCGTCCTCGAGCGCCGATATTTTGGCGTCTTTCTCACCAACCTCGGCCTGAAGCGCAGCAACCGACTTGCGGAGCGAATCGAGCTCGGCCTGGGCGTTGGCGTCGAGCGATGACTGCGCCTCCTGTGCGGCCTTGAGTGCAGCCTTGACTCGTGAGAGCTCCTTCTTGAGCTTGCCAAGCTGTCGATCCTTCTCGGCGAGCATGTTCGCCTGATTCTTCTGGAGCGTGGCAAGCCGTGTCGTCGCCTTCTCCACCAGTGCCTCCAGTCGCTGGACTTCGGCCTCGGACTGCGATGAGGCGCGCACGTCATCAAGCTCGCGCTCGAGTCGAGCAACCGCCTCGGTCTTTGCCGCCACTTGCTCCATTATCTTTGCCTGCGCCGCCAGCGCTTGCGCCAGCGCATCGTTCTTGGACGCCAGCTGCTCGTTGAGCGACTCGACCTTGGCGGTCAGGCTCGCCATTGTGGTCTCCATCTGCCGGCCCTCATCTGACGAGAGCCGCGCCTCGTGCTTGAACGCCTTGTTTGCCGCGTCGTACTTGGCCTTCCACTGCGCAGCTTCGGCAGATGCCGTCGCCGCCGCCTGCTCCGCCGCCTGTGCCCGCTCAACTGCAGTCTGGTAGTCGCGCGAGGCAAGACCTTGTGACGGCTCGCGACGGAGGTCGGGGCTTGACGCCATCCCGCGCGGAGTGCCTGGTGCAGGCGTTCGCTGCTCGAGCTGAAGTTGCAGCCGCGCGTTGGCACCCTCCAGGCTGGCTACCTGCTCTTTGAGCCGCTCCACCAGCTCGACCGTCTCTAGCCGCTCCTCACCGGTCCCCTGGAGGTCCGAATACTTGACAGCCGCGAGCTCGAGAACCACCGCCTCGCGCGCCTTACGCTCGCTCTCGAGTTCGTCCAGTAGCCGTGCTGTGAGCGCGTCGGCGGCAGCCTCGCGCTTCAGCTCAGCGCTGATCGACGAGGAGAGCCGCGCGAGCGCCGTGCCTTCGGTTCGCTTCACCTGCGCCTGCAGCCGCGTCACCTCGTCAGTGAGTAGAGCCTCTGCCTCCCGCGACGCTGCCAGTTCCTCCGACAGTGCATCCGTCCGCGCGTGAGCCGCTGCGAGCGACGCCTCCAGGTCCGTCATCGAAAGGCCCTGTGCGTTGAGCTGGAGCTTGCGCTGTGATGCCGCAGCCTCGGCGGCGGCCTGCGAGCCCTGCGCCTGTGCAGCCTCCACCGTCGCCTCGACCCGCAAGTCCTCAATTAGCACACGCGCATCCGCAAGCTCAGAAGTGAGCGCCGCAATCTGTGCCTTCGCCTGGACCTCCCTGGTCGACGACGTCGACGCAAACGAGTCGTCCAAAGGAGTGACAAGGGCGCGCAGGCCTTGGACCTCGACCTCCATGGCCGCGATCATCGACTCTGCGCGCGCCCGATACGCTGCGTCGCGGTTGCGTGCCGTCTGGAGCGCCAGCTCGGCCGCATGTCGCTGCTCCTCCAGCGACGCCACCAACGCCCGCAGCTCCTCGGTCTCGCGTGCGACGTGGGCTCTCGCCCGGGCCGTTGCCTCGCCAACCGCGATCCGCTCCGACCGCAGTTGCGCCTGCAACTCGCGAATGGAGGCCTTGGCCTCGGCCAGCGCTGCCTCCAGTCCTACTCTCCGCACGCTCTCCGACGCCGCCTTGGACGCCGCTTCGGACGACGCCGTTTCCAGTTGCGAGGCCAGCTGCGAGAGGAGCAACGGCCGCATGGCCGTCGACCGCGACAGAGCCGTCTCGGCCAGGACCTCGGCGGCAGCCGCCACCTGCGAGTGGTACACAGGGCCTCGCAACGGTGACAAGCTCAGCTTGCCCCCTGACATGTCCTAAGGAAGATGGGTGTCTCTCTCCCTCTCGCATTGCCATCCGAAAGCCAATGAGCAGCCGAACACGGTCATCACGCAAACCACCCATTCACTCGGATTGACAGCGCATGTGGGGAGGGGGGGGGGGGGGGGGGGGGGGGGGGGGGGGCGACAGGGGGATACATGAGTGAATGGGGTGCTTTGCGTAATGACCCTTGGCTGCCGATTGACTCGACCCAGGCGCCGATCGGTTGCGTCACACCATCGGCGCCGACGACCGCCGCTCGCGGGCACCTACCCGGCGGCGGTCTCGGCATGGCACCACATCGCCCGAGCCCGAGCCGCCCGAGAGTCCGGATAGCCGCTCCTTGCTACCGCGGCTGCCGCGTCCCGTACCCTGCACCCAAACGACAACGCATGCCACCCCAAGCAGGGCACAGCCTCCGGCCATGACTGCCACTGCCCGATTACTCGATGCAGAAGTCCAGAGCGCGGCGGCGGGGCCCGGCGGGCAGCGAAGCCCGCGGTGAAGCACGATGGCGTCGACGACAGCCCCACTTTCCGAGTCAACAAACTCAAAGGCCGCGGTTCCATTGGTGTAGAGTGCGAGCCGGCCATAGCCAAAAGTGGTGCCCGAGTGAGCCACCGACCATGCCGGCATTGGATCTGCCCAGCCCTGCCGGGTCTCGAGGCCGCCGACGCCGAGTCGGACATGGATCGGAGCCTTGCGCCAGGACTGAACCTTGCCGCGCATCACCGGGTGTGTCCGCTCGTACGAGTGATCGTGGCCTTGAAAGACAAAGTCGACCGTGCCAGGGAATGGCTCGAGCAAATCCTCGAGCGCCTTACGGAGCTTCAAGTCCGAGCCCTTGTGCAGCGACGCCGAGTACGCCGAGCGGTGAATGAGGACGAGAGTAAAGGCTCCGTGGCGCGGGCCGCGTGCAGCCTCTTCTGCGAGCGCCTGCAGGGCGAAACTGCCCTGCGCCGAGTCGGGCCCGAGGTCCTCGTCCGAGTTGAGCGCAATGAGCGTGACCAGCGGCGAGAGGGCGACCTTGTACCAGGTCACCAGCTCACGATTGTGGCGGATGGCATCACGAAGTGCGACCCGCCGTGGATCGCTCGGGTTGAAAAACCGCGAGAGGTACGGGATAAAGTGATAGTCAAAGCCAGACTTGCCGTCGTGGGATCCGGCCTCGTGGTTGCCTGGGATGGCAAGCATCGGGACTTGCCGCGCCAATGGCTCGATCATGCGGAAGAACCTGTCCCAGTACTCTTGCTTCAGCTCGCCGTACTCTTTGCGCGCTACGCTCCACGGCACGTTGTCGGTCGTGTCCGCGTAGCCAAAGTCGCCGAGGTGGAGGACGAGGTCGAGCGACGGCCCGGACGCCGCCATCGCCGCCACCGTTGTGTGCGCGGCGTCCGAGACCGATGTATCCGCCACGAGACCGATCACCATTTTGCCAACACTAGCAGGAGGCGCGATGCTCCGCCGGCGCGGATACCGGCACGCGCCGTGAGCCCACGATGCGTAGGCCGCGACCTGGGCGTCGAGCCTGCCACGGGCATAGATCGGGACTCCGAGCACGGTCCGAGTCCGCTCGTCCCACACCAGCTCTCCTGTGGCATGCCGCAAGCCCAGCACATATTCGACAGCCTGCAAATGTGCAAACGGGCCCATGTCGACCATTACCTCGAACATCCACTTGTTGAACCCGCCCTTGCGATACGTATGCCGCCTTGCCACCGCCAGCCGCGCGCCGCCCTCGCCATCTGCAGCATCTGCAATGTGGACGACGCCTTCGGCAGCTTCCGGCACTCTTCCCTTCGCCACCTCTACCCATGTCCACGCAATACCGGCCCCATCAGCTGTCGGCGCCACATGGACCTGATCAAACCACACTTTGTCACCGCCAAACGCACTGCCGCCGCCACTGCCACCGCCACCGCCTTGATCCGCGCGCGTGCATGCGAGCAACACAACCGCGACTAAGAGCAAAGTACTACGCCAGTGAGATAACCTCATGGTTCAAGATAAGGTTCAAGGTAAGCAGGTGTAGTGGCACGGCGCCAAGAGAAACAGCGAGTGTAGTGTGGCCATGAGAGCGGCAGAGTGTCCACTGTGCCTCCATTGGCAGCGGCATCAGCAGACATTCCGACAACGATCGACAAGCAGATATCAACAGAGAGAGCGTGTGTGTGTGTGCGTTGATTCCCAAAGAATGGAGAGCAATGTCATGAGGCTGTGAATGGGAGCGATTAGCATGGTGGAATGAGGTGCCGCGTGCGTAGGGTCGGCGATTGGTGGCGGCTTGGCTAGCGTGTGCCCGCTCATGCCGGCACTTGTTCCTGACCGACAAGTCGTCACCCACACACACACCCAGCCACACATCCACGCACCACGCACACACACAGACATACACCCCTCTCACCCACCCTACATCAACTACATTGGCGGGGGCGGAGGTATGACCTCGGTGCAAGGGCCGGGGCGGGGGTGCTGGTCGGAGGCGGTGGCGGGCGACAACAATGTCCATGGCTGTGAGAGACAGGCCAACAAGGACGGCAAGCAAGACGACGATGCGGTGGTAGTGCTCGAGGTGGTGGCCGATGGCGTGGGAGAGGAGGTAGAGCTGGCAGCGCTGGATGGGAAAGGCGAGGAGGGAAAGGCTGGCGAACAACGCGGATGCAGATGCCGGCGGCGTGGCTTGGAGCGGCGACGGCGGCGATGGCGGACGCGTCGCGGCGTAGGGGAGCGCATGCTGCGGCGAGTGGCACGGGCCGAGTGGCGGAGGGCCTGCGGTGGTGGAAGTGGCGATATACTTGACTCGATAGGAGCCATGGCAGCATCCAAATCGGAGACGAACCAGGTGTTGCTGAACGAGATGGCGAAGCAGATCAAGGACTTGGAGAATGCCATTGCGAAGCAGGCGACGGAGGCTGCGGACACCATTCGCGAGCTGAAGAGCACCATTGCGAAGCAGGCGACGGAGGCTGCGGACACCATTCGCGAGCGGGAGCGTACCATTCGCGAGCTGAGGATGCAACTTGCTAGCGCGGGCATCACGCCCGTGACGATGGCCACCAACGACACCAGCAGCTCGCAGAAGCGGACGACCTCGGAGGGCAGCAGCACGAGCTCTGAAGGGAGTAGTGCGATCCCTATGTCCGAGAGCTCGTCTGGTGCGTGTGACCGTGAGTAGGGCATGGCTGGCTTGATCAACCTGTGTGATCGTTATCCGACGCACGCGCGCTCGGAAGGAGAGGCAGACTGCGGCACCGAATGAGCACATCGGAGAGGGATAGGCACGAGGTGGGGGGCAGTGCCATGTGGATAGCACCATGCCTTGCCAGGCACTGTTGTACCGTACACGCATGGAGTTCTTTCTCCGCGTTGCGCCAACACCAGGAAAAGGTCGTGAAATGCTGTTTTGGTGGCTCAAGCCACAGCCTCCCCCATCGAACACCACCACCAGCCCCTCCCCCATCCATCACCACCACCAGCCCCTCCCCCATTGAACACCACCACCAGCCCCTCCCCCATCCATCACCGTGATGGTTGCACCACCAGCTCAACCCGTCGACTGTCCTGCTTCACTCGAACAGTCACGGCAGCACTCCACCCCACACAACACACACACATACACACACACAAACACACACACACAAACACGCAGCTACATCCATGGATTCTGCGGTGGCACAACATGTGGTCGGCCTCCGCATCGATGTCGACGCTACGACACCGGCGACGCCTCCGCCGCGACTTGGCCGCCGAACAGGAAACAACCAACGGACAGCAAGCAGCGAGAGGCAGGGCGCAAGACAAGACAGGCAAGCCGATGCGCCCACTCTTGGTCAGCACCATGCCGATGACATGACACCGAGTCCGCAACAGAGGTTGTGGGGAAAGACTAAGCAGACCTTTTCTTTGCCTATTGCGTCGCCACTCGCTTCGCTGCCGGCCAGCAAGCCGACCACGCCGACGCCGACCACGCCGACCACGCCGACGCCGACCACGCCGACCACGCCAGCCACGCCGTCTTCGTCGATGTCGGCCATGTCGCGAGCGTGTTCGGGCCTGCGGCGGTCACCGTCGCGAACGGCGCCGCGGACTACCCTCGGATCGTTGCGGCGGGCGCAGACGGCGTCAGAGGCCGAGCTACGCCCGGTGGTCTGGGGCGAGACCCCCGGGTCTCCGCTAGCTTCGCGGCTAGCACCCTCGCCGCGCGCCTCGGCCTTGCCTGTTCGCAAGTCTGACGATCGCTGCGACCACTCGCCAGCTCGCCCACCGCGGCTTTCGGCCTCGCCGATGCCGGCCTGGGTCCGCAACGGCGTCTCGCCGCTCAAGCAAGCCGCCATGGAGCTGCTGGGCGAGCAGGCTGAGATGCTCGCCGCCGCCGACGAGCGGCTGCACACGCTCCGCGCCGCATATCAGGCCGAAAAGGACGACGTGCTCGACGTGGCCCATCTTCTTGACACCCATCCACCCCGCTCTGCCGCCGCCTTTGGCTCCGGCTCGCCAGCCTCGCTCTCAATCGAAGCTCTGAGTTGCGACTCAAGGCTACAGGCCGCCCTGGTTGCGTCGCCCGTGGAGGGCATGGACGCTGCCAGTGGCACGCCGCACGCCCACCGACTGCGTCGTGAGCTTCCAGCCTCACTTGCTTCGCCGCGATCGCCGCTTGGACTCTCGTCACGCTGCTCATCGTGGTGTCTCGGCGTAGCCCCGCGCCTCCCGCCCCCGCCGACTCGGTCGCCCGTCGCCGACCTGCTGGCCAATGCCGCCGCCGATCGCGAGCACACCGAAAACCGGCTCATCTACCTCAAGCGTCGCGAGATGCACGGCCGTTAGGCCCAGCCACAGTCAAAGTAGCGGCCCATGTCTGATACCAATGCTTTTGAGTCGTTTGTGGAGGGAATCTTTGGCCGATGGCTGTGGCCAGGGCCTGGCATGGCCAGGCCTGTGGACAGGGCAATGGTCAAATGGGGTCAGTCACCTTTTGGGCGAATTGCGCGCGAAGATTCGCGCTCAATTCGCGCGACATTGAAAAAATGGCAGCGAACCAGGGGAAGCCGGAGCATTGGGCGGGGCAGGGGGGGAGGGGGGACCTTACCCACATCACCTCACCCCGCCCCACACACCAGCCAGACTAGCAAACAGGGCCGGGCATAGGCAAACAGTGAAGCTTGCACACTTCTCCACGCCCCCCCTCCCCCCCTTCAACCTCATACGGTCGACCCACCCACCCCAGCATGTCGGGCTACGGGCACGGCAAGTACGGCGTCGGCTATGGCGGCAGCCACCATGGACACCATGGGCACGGCGGACACGGAGGACGTGGAAGCGGACACGGACGGATGCATAGGATGGGCGGCAGTGGTGGTGGTCCTCCTGGTGTCAGCATTGGCGCCCCACACGTGAGGGTCACCGCCGCCACTCTCACCCCCACCGCCCTCTCAGCCGCCTCCTCGAGGGCGCACAACACCAACGAGGGTCACCTCCCGTGGGTCTTTGACGAGACGGCCAAGCTCGAGCTGGAGCGTGTTGACTCGGGCATGGGCCTCGCCTCGTTGACGCCCGTCACTCCTCGCAAGCGTGGTGCGGGCTCTTCGACCATCCGTATCACCACCGCAGGCGGAAAGGAGGAGTCGCTCGAATGGCTGGCGTCGTCGCCCATCCGCGGCGCCGGCTCGCCCATGCCGCCCGACGCCACTCGCTCGCCAGCCGCATCCTCGACTTCGCTCCCGCCCGCCTCGCCCGACGACGACGGCGACAGCGACGACGACGGTGACGACTCGCCGCACGCCACCTCGGAGTGGTCCGGCGTCGACCTCTCGCACATGACGCTCAGGCATCTTGCGCCGAGCCTCGGGACGTACTCGCGAATTGTGGAGCTCGACATCTCGCACAACTTGCTGCAGTCGGTCTCGCCGCACGTCTTTGCTGGCCTTCACCACCTCAAGGTCCTCAACCTCTCGCACAACCTGCTCTCAAACGTGCAGGACGGCTGGGTCGCCCTCACCTCGCTCCGGGTCCTCAACCTCGCGCACAACCACATCCAGTACGCACCTTTTGACCTCGGCTCGCTCTACGCGCTCAAGTCGCTCAACCTGACGGCCAACCCGGTCTCCAACGTGGCGCAGGAGCTGCTGGCCAAGACCGACAACTCGATTGTCAAGTACCTGCGCGACGTGGCGCCGCCACCGCCAGCGCCGCCGCTCCGCAAGCTCGTCACCTCGCCCTCGGTCCCGCCGCCGACAGCCGCCGAGCCGGCCTCGTTCACCGTCTTTTGCTACAACGTCCTCTGCGACGCGTACGCCACCGAGCAAATGTACCCGCACACCCCGACGTGGGCTCTCGACTGGGAGTTCCGCAAGTCGCTCATTCTCAACGAGATCCTCAACATGCAAGCCGACATCATTTGCCTGCAGGAGCTGCAGATGAAGGAGTTTGACAACTGGCTCCAGCACGAGCTCCTCGCCTATGGTTACAAGGGTGTGTTCAAGGCCAAGTCGCGCGTCCGGACCATGCACCCGGAAAAGGCCGTCCTTGTCGACGGCTGTGCCACCTTTTACCGCACCGCCACCTTTACCCTCGAGGCCGAGGACGACGTCGAGTTTTCCGCCATGGCCATGGCCGAGCCCTCGCTCCGCGCTTCGGAGGACGCCTTCAACCGCCTCCTCACCCGCGACAACATTGCCCTCATCCTCACCCTGCGCTCCAACGCCGACGGCCACGTCGTCGTCGTCTCGAACACCCACGTCCACTTTGACCCCAAGTACGCCGACGTCAAGGTCATCCAGGTCCAGATGCTCCTCGAGGCAACCGCAAGCAAGGTCGAGGCCCTGACTGAGGCCACCGGCACCAAGCCGTACGCCGTCGTTTGTGGCGACTTTAACTCGCTGCCTGAGTCGGGCGTGTACAAGCTGCTCAAGACTGGATTCCTCAAGGCCTCCCACGAAGACATGCTTGGCTACTCGTACGGCTCGCTCTCCAAGACCGGCATCAAGCACCGCCTCTCGCTCAACTCGGCTTACGCCTCCATTCTCAACGAGGAGCTGCCCTTCACCAACTACACCCCGCTCTTCAAGGGCGTCATCGACTACATCTGGGTCGACTCGGAGCTGGTCACTGAAGCCGTGCTCGAGGGCCTCACCAACGAGGAAGCCCGCAAGGGCATCGCCCTCCCCAACGCCCACCACCCATCGGACCACATTCCGCTCGCCTGTAAGATTCGGATCGAATAACATGTTGATCAACCTACTTTTGTCGCGCGGACTTTGAACTGTCTGCGACGTTCGGCTTCAGTCGAGCGGCCGGATGCCGAGTACCACATGATCAAACCAGAACGACTCGAGTGCCGGCAGGATCGAGTCCCGCCAGAGCACGTCGTCGCGGACGACGCGGACGATGGCAGCATAGCCCTCGGGCCGCTCCTCGCGCTCGCCGGCATCGTTGATCCGCCACTGGGTCCACCGCACGTAGTCGCACCACTCCAGTCCGGTGCACTGGATGTGGCCGTGGACTTGGGCCACATGCCACGGCGGGACGCTCGCCTGCAGCGCGTACGGCGACTCGGGCCGCGGACACTTGACCTCGACGCACCCGACCGTCTTGCCGGCATCGTCGACAACAAGGCCATCGGGCGAGACGGCGATCATGTACAGCGCCGGGTCGGGATGCTGGTGGATGCCGGTCTCGACAACCCGAAAGCCCGAGGCGGCCTCGTAGGCTGCGATGCCATCGTCCTCGTGCTTGACGCCGCGCTCAATGTCGGCGTTGCTCGGCTTGCGCTTGCTCAGACCAAACATGTCGTCCCATACCTCGCCGCGGCTCTTGAACCGATCACCGCCCAGCAGGGCATTAAAGTTAGAGCCCGAGACAAAGCCCAGCCGCTCCTTGTGCCACTCGGTCGATCGCTGGCTCAGCGCCCGCAGATGCGCCCGCCGCGCCGCTGCCACCTCGGGGCTCTCGGCCTTGTTGGCCGCCTCGAACACCGTCAGCCACTCACGCACCCGTCCTGCCGGAAGCGATGACACCCATGCCGCATGCACTCTGCCCGTCTGCTTCCGGACGCCGCCTCGGATGATGGCGAGCATGGACCTCGAGGCTTGTCGCTGAGCTGTGTTTGAGTCGAATGGCGGCCCGTCCCGACTCCGGCTGACTGCCAACTCGCCGGCGAGCCGCCAGCTCGCTGGGGCCGATGCGGAGGAGAGTCGCCTGAGGCGCGGCAATCGATGCACGGCTGTTGCGTTCATTCATCGCGGAGGTGGATGGAGCGGTCAAAGGGAACCTTGTAGCGATCAAGGATGGCCGGCTGCTTGGCAGCGACCTCGTCAACGTCAAAGAACAGGATGATGTCGTTGTCGGTGCGGATGGAGATGGTGGAGGAGCCGCCGGCGATAGCGGTCTCGAGCTTGGTGACAAAGTCGCGAACAGATGCGACCTTGACGCCGTTGACCGAAGAGATGATGGCGTGCTCATAGTCGTCGTAGCCGTAGTTGATCGAGTCGGAGAGGATGCCCGAAAAGACAACGAGCTCCTCGAGCTCGGGCGTCCGCACTCCGCACTTGTAGTGGTAGAGCAAGTCCTTGGGCGCGGTCTCGCGCCAGTCGTCCCAGGTCTCGAGGAGGCCACGGGTCAGCGGCTGGAAGACGAGCCCGCCGTAGATAAAGTAGACTGGCTTGATGTCGTACTGTTGCTTGGGCACGAGCCGAGCGTACGGCTTGAGCTCGACGTCGACCGAGACGACGACGCCGTCGCGGAGGACATCGATGGCGAGCACGTCGCCGACGTAAAACTCGTGGTAGAGGACGGAGAAAAAGGTGCGGAACTTGCCTGCGTACAGAACGGTGCCATTGTTGTGGATGCGGTTGCCGCCGATGGCCAGCAGCACGTCGCCCGGGAGCAGCCGCTCCCAGGCCGACATCTCGTACAGAGTCTTGGCTACGAGGACGCCGGTCATGTCGTCGGTCATGCCCTTGGCCCGCCGCAGCTGCGGCGCCTCGAGCGTCTGGTGAATGATGCCGAGGATGGGAAAGACGTTCGGCAGGCCGTCAAAGTAGCAGCGGAGAAAGTGGTGGATGATGCAAGTCGGCACAATCTCGCCGATGTTCTGCGCGTCGTCCATGCCCTGGATGGCGATGCCAAGGATGGTGTCGCGGAGAAAGGCCGGCCCGCCCGAGTTGCCCGAGTTCATCGCCGCGTCGACGGTGATGGCCAGCAGCCGCCGCGAAGAGTGAGTGTAGCTCTGGACTTCGATGCGCGAGACGACACCGTCGGTGATCGAGAGCTCGTGCCCGCCGACCGGAAAGCCCACCAGCGAGATCTTGGAGCGGAGCGAGGGCAGAAAGTCGGGCGCACCGAGGACAGCCCGCGGCACGTCGTCAAGAAAGCCCGGCGGCGACGCGTCGTCCACCACCTTGAGCAGCGCCAGATCAGCCTCGTGGCAGACAGCCACGACGTCGGCTACGGCCTTGCCCGGATCCGAGCTCTTCTGCAGCTGGACAAAGGTACCGTCAGCCACAACATGGGCAGCAGTGAGGATCAGCCCGCCTTCGATGCACACGCCGGAACCCGAGCACGACGACGGCCTGCATGACTGCCACGGCACATCGAAATCGACTTGCTGATAGGTAGTGAGGACCTTGACCACCGAGGCCTTGTACAGCACCGTCGCCGGCTCTCCATCACCAGCCACACCATCAGCTGCAGCACTCGGTCTGCCACATCCCAACCCGCCAGCCGATCCCGATGAGCTTGCTGATGCCGACGCGCCCGACTCTGAGCTAGAGCCAGAGGATGATCCTGCCATAGTGGTGGTGGTGGTGGCAGTAGTAGCCGTCGGGGTGGCCGTGGCCGTGGCCGTAGGGGTCGGCGGTGGCTCAGAGGCTGGTGGCGCAGACATGGGCGCGGGGGATTGAAGGGGAGGAGGAGGGGTAGGGAAGTGTGGAAGGGGAGGGGGGAGGGGGGAGGGAGGGGGAGGTGGCGGAGGAGGGTGAACGGGTGAAGGAAGGAATGGAAGGGGAGGGGAGAGGAGGGGAAGGGGAGGGGAGGGGAGGGAGTGGTGGAAGGATCGGGTTGGCCGTAGCCAGCCGCAGGTCGCAGTGGGGTAGGTATGTACAAGGGAGGGGGGAGAATATTGTGGTTTGGGAGAGGGGGAGAGAGGGGGGGAGGAGGGGGGGGGGGGGGGGCGGAGATAGCCATCACTACCCCGTATCAATATCATCATCTCCATCTCCATCTCCACATCCTGATGCCTGGCCTGATGCCTACCTGGCCTGATACCTACCTGGCCTGATACCTACCTGGCCTGATACCTACCTGGCCTGATACCTACCTGGCCTGATACCTACCTGGCCTGATACCTACCTGGCCTGATACCTACCTGGCCTGATACCTACCTGGCCTGACAGCACCGGCCAACCCTCTTCCCTCCCCGCCCTATCACCCCAACCCCAACCACAACCACAACCTCCTCCTCCTCCACCTGCTCCTCACCACACTCCCTCGAACACACACTCCCCACACACACACACACAACCACCTCCACCACTCCATGCACACACACACACACATGCAGAACGAGCTCGAGTCGTCGGCGGTGTACAAGGCGGCCCGGGCCGGGCGGGCCAAGCGGGTGAAGAGCCTGCTGGCGTCGGGCAAGCATGTGGCCAAGGTCCGCCAGGTCGATGGCTACGGGAACACTGTCCTCCATGTTGCTGCTGCAGAGGGCCATGCCGGTGTGGTGGCTGTCCTGCTTGCCTCGAGGCTCGTCGATGCCCGCTTGTACAACGCTGTTGGCCTCGCTCCGCTCCATCTCGCTGCTGCCGCTGGCCACCACGACGTTGCCTCTCTCCTGCTCAATCCGCCGCCGGAGAACGTCTCACTCACGGCACAGCTCAAGGCCATGTTTGGCTCGTCGGCTGCTTTGCGCGCCCGTGGAGGTCGCTCGAACGCTGCCGGCGACGCCCCGGATGAGTCCGCCGACGACGGTGCGAGCCAGGCCGACGATCCGGTCGCGGTCTCGCCGGACCTCTCCACTGTCCACGGCATCACGCCGCTGATGCTCGCCGCTGACGGCGGGCACGCTGATGTCACTGCCCTCCTCCTCGCCAACGGTGCGAGTGTCCACGCTGTTGCCGACGATCGCGGCCGCACCGCTCTGCACTACGCCTCGCTCCGGGGCCACGCAGACGTCATTGACGTCCTCATCCGCCGCGGCGGCGCCTCTATCGATCTGCCCACAAGTTCGGGCGAGACTCCGATCGACGTCGCAGCCTCTCCGCTCATTGCCCGCGCCCTCGTCAGGCTCGCTGGCGGAAAGCTGCCAGGCTCCCATCCCGACGCCGCCACAGCCTCGTCCGCCACCGCCCGGCACACCTCCGCCGCGCGCTTCGCCGCCCTCTCTTCTTTCCTTCCTGATGATGCTGCCGTTTACATCCCCAAGACCAAGTCGCGCCGCCGTCGCCGCAAGAAAAAGTAAACTTTGGTTCTTCAGAAATGTTGCCTGATGTTTACTATGTCACCGCAACCTCTGCTCACAGTTTGACCGTCGATCTCCTTTTTGGCCGCCTCGTCCCGCCTCGCCCGCCTCCTCCACACGTAAACGCCGTGCTGGGCGAGCCTCCCTCATCTACCCGCTTCTGCCAAGAGCCCCAAACACGGACATCATGCCAGTACATTAGAGCTCTCCATCCAAGCTTTATACCTCCACACACTTTACTTTACTTACAGCCTGTGCGAGAGATCCAGCGAGTTGTGCGACGAGGCCTTGCGCGGGGTAAGGGCCTCGGCGTCATCGCCGACAATTGCGCCAGAGGCCGACGCCGCGGCCGGGCCCTTCTCGGTCGCCGACTTGAGGGCGCGCGACTGGGCGTAGAACTCGTCAAGCGACATCTCCTTGAGGAAGACAAAGCCGCGGGTGGCGCGGATGAGCGGCTCCGGGTGCTTCTGGAACCAGTCACGGCCGAGGCAGGTCTTGAGGATAAAGTACTGGTCCTGCTGGATCTGCTGGGTGAGGTCAGAGAACGGACCGTCATGCTCGTACGACGGAAACGAGGCGTCGCGCTGCGAGCCGTACGAGTTGAGGAACGACGACTCGAGAATGGCAAAGTCCATGAGCGTGACTGGGATGTACATGTTGGAGAACGAGGGATGGAACCGGTACCACACGTTGCGGTAGCCGATGCACGAGACCTGGGCTGCCGGGCGCGCCTCCTTGTACAGCCTGAGCGCCGTGGTCAGCGCCTGCAGCACCTTGTAGTGGGTATCCTGCGCATTTTCCGGATCGAGTGCCATCGTCACCACATCGGGCTCATACTCCTTGAGGTAATCGAGAATGGGCAGGACGTCGCGGGTAACCTCGGGCTCCTCGTCAAACAGGTTGGCGGTGTAGAACTGGAGCCGCGCGTGGAAGACGTCGCGGGTCTCCCACCCCAGCCAGGCCCACACGCAGTCGGCCTCCCACTCGCGGCACTTGCCCTTGAGCATCTGGACGTCCGGCGTGTTGCGCTGGCCATCGTACTGCGTCGAAAAGTAGTTGAGCAGGACCGAGATGCGCGTCGAGAGCGAGGCCACATCAGGCGTGTCCGAGTAAATCTCGATGAGGTTGCGGATGAGCCGCCGCGCGATGCCCTGCTCCTTCATCGGCTCCGACTTGGCTGCCACCCCGTCGAGGTACTGCCACACGTCGCGGTTGCGCCCGTCCTCGGACGCAGGATCAAAGTAAGACCGCTCCGCCGCCAGCTTGGCAAACTCCTTGGTATGGATAAACCGCTCGGCAATGCCCAGCTGCTCCACCATAAACTTGTTGGTCACCGAGTTGAAGCCCGAGGTCATGCAAGCAAATTTGTGCGAGTTGGTCGGGTTCGACGTCTGCCGCATCACCCCGGCCATGTACCCGAGCATGACGTCGTCGTGGTGCGGCTCGGTGTGGAGGAATCGCGTCGAGTCGTACGTCCGGCACCCGGCCTCGATGCGCGAAACGAGTAGGTCAAAGACCTGCTGCGCAACGCGAGGAAGGAGCGCGTCCACAGACATGTCCTTCTGCTGCGCAAACCGGGTGAGCACAAGCGCAGCCCGCGGCGAGGCTGCAACGTCCGACGGCGTCAGCTGCACAAGCTCCTTGTGGACCGAGACGCAGAGGTCCACAAGAACCTCGACCACATTCTCCATGGTGATCGTCTCGGCGCTCGCAAGCCGGTACAGCTCGCGCTTGGCAAGCTGCTTGGCCGCGCCCTCGGTGATGTAGAACCGCGCAGAGTCGAGCGAGTGCAGGACCGTCGCCGGCAGCGCCACTGTTGCGGCCTGGGTCAACGACTTGGCCACAATCGACGACTTGGACTCGCCCGCCGCAATGATGATCGCCACGCACTCGGGATTGTACGTGATGGTGCCTAGCCCAATGGTGATTACAAGCCGCTTCGACGACACCTCGATGCCGCCCAGGTCGCCCGCCGCCGCGGCCTGTGTCTCGTAGTTGATCGGTGAGAGCCGCGTCGTCGAAAAGTGGTCAGCGCCGGAGCAGTTGAACGCAATGTGTCCGTCCGGCCCGATGCCGCCGAGGAAGAACCCGATGCCACCCAGCGCCCGAATCCGTGCCTCGTGCGCGTTGCACCACTCGTCAACCTTGATGATCTCGTCTCGCTGCCGCCGCTCTTGCTCGTTGCATGGCGCACGGAACCGGAGCGAGAGGTCCACGCCCTCGGTCGCATCAAACACAGACATGTCGCAAATCGTCGACCCGTCGATCAGTAGCGCCTTTTCGGGATCAAACCCCATCCCGCGAAGGTACAGCAAGTCCACGTACGAGTAAAACGAGTTGGACTGCCGCGGGTTGATGGGGAAGAACTCGTCGATCTGCACGAAAATGAGCGACCCGATGTCGGGCTTGGCCTCGGGCCCGTACTCGAGCCCGTACTCGCTCAGCACTTCCACGACCGCAGGCTCGCCCCACCCGTTGAGGATCCGCGTCACCCACTTGATAAAGTACTCGGGTGTCTTGCCTGTCGGGAGCGAGACCACTCCGCCTGGGTTCGCCTGCGCCCACTCGATAAACCGCAGCGCAGTCACCTTGCCCAGGTCCGGAAAGTTGTCCACCACAATCGTCGGCACCCGCTCGTCATCGAAAAACCCAGGGTAGCCAGACTTGGCCATTGCCATCTTTTCCACCTCGGACCTGCAACCCCGCTCGCCCGGCCGCCACGTCATCTCTAACTTGGTGAGTCGCGGCATGTTCCTCCACCGCCGCCACCACCGACTCGTGGATGCGGATAGCCATGGCAGTATGGCTCGAGAGTACAAAGAGATTTCATCACCCAAGCTTGCAGGAACGCAACCATCCCACCCCCCAGCATCCGTGCTACTACCTTGCCTCTCATTTCCACTCATCACAGCAGCCACAGCAGGTGGCTAGGCCGTAGAAGTGCAGCTTTCGCTGCTTTGCGTGCCGAAAAATAAAATGTCTCCACAACTTGGGGCAACGAGTGCGCATGACGTGGAGAGGCTGGGACTGGCGCAGGTACTGCGGGACAGCCATGGCGACTGGGGGGGGGGGGGCAGTGTCTCGGCATGGAATCTAGGAAATAAAGCACATGCGGGTACGTACCCATGGGCAAGGATCTCAGATGGCCGCCGGTTGAGGGCGGAGGTGCCCGGTGAAGGGGTGGCCTCGGTCTCGGACGAGTCATCGTGGCCATTGGACAACAGGCTGGTCTTCGGTGGCGTCTGGAGGAAGGCAGACGTGGGCGAAGCAGTGGACATGATGGAGTAGTTGCTTAGAGGGGGGGGGGGGGAGGTAGGAAGGGAGTGTGTGTGCGTGTGTGCTAGAGACAAGTCGTAGCTAGCCCCGTCTGACCCGCAAGCCAGCTCCCCCAGGCCCATTTCCGGCCCGCACCACTGTTGCTGACGCCGAACAGCAACAATGCAGCGCTTGTTTTTGGCCACAGCTTGGCGGGAGTGCCCAATGCCTAGTACGCGCCCTCCCCTCCATTCTTTTACCGTGGCGCTGCTACTGGCAACGGATGCCTGGCCGGGTCGTGACGGTGCAGTCGTTGAGCGGCGAGTCCATCTGGATGGTGGTGTGACCGATGCCGTGCGAGTTGCAAATGTGCTCGGCAGCGGTGAGGACGTCGGCGTGGTGCGACTGCTCGGCGATGATGTGAGCCGAGAGGAAGATGTTGTCAAAGGTGAGCGACCAGACGTGGAGGTGGTGCATGCCGCGAAAGTGCGGGATGGCCCGCAACTGCGCCTTGAGCTGGGGCATGTCGACGGTCTCGGGCGTCGAGTGCATGAGGACCCGGAGGATGCCGCGAACGAGCGAGACGGTGGTAAAGAGGGTGATGATACCAAAGAGGAGCGAGGCAACCGGGTCGGCGATGTTGTACAGCGAGCCATGCTTCGTTGGTGTGCCGTAGGTAAAGTGGTTGCCAGCCCAGATGACGCCTGCGGCGGCAATGACTCCAACAGACTGTGCACAGTCGCCGAGGACGTGGATAAAGGCGGCCCGGACGTTAACGTTGCCCACGCCCGAGTTTGGCAACTCGTCGACTGTCGCCGTGCCGTGGGCATGGCCGTGGGCATGGCCGTGGGCATGCACTTCAGCCGGTGCGGAGGCCTGCCCGCCGTGCGAGTGCGAGTGCGAGTGCGAATGCCCGCCGCCGCCGTGCGAGTGTGAGTGCGAGGCGTTGCCCCACGCCAGAATGAGCGCGTCGATAATGTTGACCAAGAGACCGGCGCTGCCGATGATGGTCATGATGACCGAGTCGATGGCGTCGCCCTCGCGCTTGACGTCTGACACCAGGCGGACAATGGCCTCGTAGGTGATGATCGACACAAGGACCCAGATGGTGACAATTGACGCCAGCGCACCCAGAATCTCTGCTCGCTGGTAGCCAAAGGTCATCTTGTCTGTCGACTTTTTCTTCGACAGGTGCATGGCAAAGAGCGAGAGGCACATCGCCGCCACATCCGTCAGCAGATGCGCGGCGTCGGTCATGATCGCCAGCGAGCCGGCAACGTACCCACCAGCAATTTCCACGCACATAAAGATGACCGTGAAAACAGTGGCAATGATCAGCGCCCGCCGCGCCTTCTGGTCACGCGCCCGCTGCGCTGGCATCACCGTTTGGGCCTCACGATCGCCGATGCTGCCGCCCTCGGCGCTGCCGCCCGACTGGATCGAAAACGTCGACGTCAGCAGCGGTTGCCGCTCGTCATGCACCGTCGCGTCGCCGCTGGCAATTGTCAGCTTTGCTGCCGCCACGTCCACACTTGTGCTCGGCTCGCTTGCGGGGCCTCCAGCCACGCCCGTCGCCTCCATCGGCAGCCGGGCCTCGGCGGACGGCGAGTTTTCCCGCGCCACGTCCGCATCGCTACTTGCCGGCGTCGAGAAGGCCGAGCCGCTAACTTCAGATGTGAGATGTGGAGTCGATGGAGCCAGCTGGTGAGCTGACAAAGGCTCCAAGGAACGCCCCGGCTCGACACGGGTCTCGGCCTCGAGCAGCGCTTCCTCCACCGCCGCCACCACCGACTCGTGGATGCGGATAGCCATGGCAGTATGGCTCGAGAGTACAAGAGATTTCAACAACTGAGGTTGTGCCTCTACAAAGGGGGTCGGCGGAAGAACGCTGGACCTGCGTCTACTCTCCGCCGTCGACGTGGATAAGTGGTGGTGAGCGTGTGGTGTGACACGAGTCACGGGTGTCAAGCGGGGGGCGGGGGGAACCATGCGGCGGGGGCAGGCGGCGGCGGTGGAGACTCTTGCGCGCGTGACATGAATGATTATTTCATCATGCCCACATTCGGTAGCAGCAAGCGACACGCGGACGGGATGGGGATAGGAATAGGGGCGTGCATGGCTTGGTTTTGATTTGTCCTTTACAGGTTGGTGGCGGTGTAGAGCTCGGCAAGCTCACCCTGGAGCGCGGCCGACGGGTTCTGGGCGGCAGCAATCTTCTTGGTGGCGGCCTTCTTGGCAGCGTAGTAGGTGGCAGCGCGGGCACGGCGCTTGTCCTCGAGGCGGTCGACGACATCGGCGTACTTCCAGCCGACCTCCGACGCGAGGCGCTTGAGCACGGTGGTCTTGCGGCCCGGAGTCAGGCGGGTCACGCGGAGGGCCTCCGGGACGACCATGGTCTTCATGCGGTCGTACGGCGGCGGGACACCGTCGAAGACCTTGAAGCGGCCGAGGGCGGCAGCACCACGCGGGAGCTTGTGCGGGAGCATACCACGGACGACGCGGTAGAGCATCTTCGACGGGGCACGGAAGTGCACGTGGCCGCGCTTCGGGTTGGTGTTCATGCGCTTGCGAAGGTAGCGGAGGAACTTGCACTTGTTGCGGACAAAGACGCCAGTGACCTCGATCTCCTCACAGCGGACGACGACGACCTTCTGGCCGTTAAGCAGCTGCTTGGCAATGACAGACGCGAGCCGGCCAAGCAGGTGGCCACGCCCGTCCACGACAACAACCTGTCCTCGTCAAAGCATGGTTCCATGGGTTGACCATCACCCGTTGCCCTTGTGTGAGTCGCTTGCCTTGTCCCCGTCCCCCCAATCTTACAAATTCAATCACCGCTGGGGAATTGGCCGCCCGAGCCCGCCGTCGCGGCCATGCCTCCCCGAGCCCACCACAGCGCCCACACCCACCACAGCGCCTTGCCGGCCCCATGTGTGGTGCGGTGCATTGCTGCGCCGTCTCTCATGGGTACGGTCTCGCCGGGGGTCCCGCCCTGCCCTCGCCGAGTCTCTCGCGAGTCGGTCAGGATGGCGAGTGCCAGCCAAAAATGCATACACAACCATCACGCTGCTGCAGGCTGCCTTGCCCAAGCACCCTTGCGGGGGCTATGGCCAAGGCACCGCGCACTGCAGCGAGACTGTGCATGTGTTGCAGCGTCTGCAGCGTCTCCCTATGCCCCTCCTTGCTGCCCCCCACTGTCCACGTACCTTGGAGAACATGATGTATGTGTTGTCCGATTTCTAACGAGAAGGGATACCGCTTGTCACTCACTTTGAATTCAAACGCTGTCCGCAAAGTCAATCATTCGCAGTTCAACAACCGAGTTGCCACTTCAACCGAGTCTTAAATCCCCAACACTTTCGCCACGAAATTCCCTCCACCACCGCTACCACCGCCGCCACCACCATTCCCCACCAAAATTTGAATGTTTTGCCTTGGCGGCCCACTCGCGCCCCCCCCTCCGCCCCGCGCCACTCCGTTGGCTCTCCTTGCGCTCGCTCGCCCGCTCCACAGGCGGCGCCGGCAACACTGCTCACACCATCGCACACTTGGTACCACAGTTGAAGACGACCTTTGCGTGACGCTACACGCCTTGCTCTCCACCCGCCACCTTCTGCGCGCTGTTTGCCCCGAGTATCCCTCCGTCTGCAGACCATGGACCGCCTCGCGCTGCAGGACCTTGTCGAGGGCCGCAACGAGTGGTGCAACATCCCGGACGTCATCCGCGAGACGTTCAAAGACTTTTCCGTTCTCATTACCAACCAGGCTGCCCAGATCCGTGCGCTCGATGAGACCATCGCCATTCTGCAGAAGCCTCGCAAGCGTGATGAGCGGCTCGTCCAGCTCGAGCACGACGTCGTCGAGATGTCCAAGCTCTCGTCGCGGAACCGCAACTCGATCGAGACCCTCCAGTCGCGGGTGGCATCCAAAGCCGAGGCTGCCGAAGTCAACGACCGTCTTGCTGAGCTCAAGCGCTCGTTTGAAGCTCGGTTGCAGCAAAAGGCTGACACCATGCACGTCAACACCGCGCTCGCCTCGCGGGTCCCGCTCCGCCTCTTTGAGGAGCACATCGATGCACGGGTGACCCACGACCAGATGGCACTCGCCCTCGATTCGGCGCTCCGTGGCAAGGCCGAGTCGGCCGAGCTTGCTGCCCTCCGCTCGTCCGTCGACTCGCTTGCCGGCTCCAAAGTCAACGCCGACGATCTCGAGGAGATCCTTAACCTCGCCCTCTCAGACCGCGCGCTCACCTCAGACCTCGCTGCCGTTGTCTCTGACATCAAGGCCGCACTCGATCGCAAGGCTGACGCCGCCACTCTCGCCGCTCAGCTCGCGTCCAAGGCCTCAGTCGACGACCTCGACCGGCTCGCGTCCGAAAAGGGTAACGCCGCCCAGCTCCTCGCCCTCCTCGAGCAAAAGGCCGACGTGGCGTACGTCAACCAGGAACTGGCAGCCAAGGCCGACGACGCCGCGGTCTCACGCGCCCTTACCTCCAAGGCCTCGCGCGACGAGCTCGACGCCCAGCTTGCCAACAAGGTCGAGGCCGATGACGTCAACGGCCTCCTCAACAAGCATCTTGGCCAGGTCTCCGATGCTGTCGCCGCCTACAAGCGCGACGTCCAGGCCGGCCTCAAGGCCCGCGCCACCATTGCCCAGGTCAACGACATGTTTGCTCAGGTCTCCAAGGACTTTAACTCGCTCGTCCTCTCGCTCGACCTCAAGCTTGACCGCGCCGAGTTTGTCGACTCGCTCGAGCAGCGCGAGGAGGCGCTACGGTCCGCTGTCCACGACCGCGAGCTCGAGGTTGCCCACCACTCGGAGGCCATCAATGTCATCAATACCCAGCTGCTCCAGCTCTCGCGTGATTTGGGCAACAAGTCCGACTCGGCGACGCTCAACCGCGCCCTCGCCTCGTTCCGCGCAGATCTCAACGAGGCCATGGCAGAGACCAAGGCGCTCGTCGCCGAAAAGGCGTCGGAGCGCATGGTGGTCCAGGGCCTGTCCCGCAAGATGGAGCGCGCCGACGTCGACGACTTGCTCGCCGCCAAGGCTGACATCAATGACGTCGCCCTCGAGCTGGCGCTCAAGGCCAACGTCGACGACATCGACGCCATGCTTCACGGCAAGGCTTCGACCGAGGCCGTCATCGAGCTGTCGCACGCCACCGCCGAGCTCCGCTCCGCCCTCGAGCTCAAGGCCAACAAGGCTGATGTCGCCGCACAGGTCTCGGCCAAGGCGTCGATGGAGGACCTCGCCAGCCTGCGCGCATCGATGCAGCGCCACGACGCCACCGCCGCCGCCGGCCGCGGCCTGCGCGGCTCGTCGCTTGGCGGAAGTGGTGTGGGCTCGTCAGGCGTCGGCTCGGCGCTCTCGGTCCTCGAGTCGGACGTCACCCGCCTCCGCCAGGCGCTGCTTGAAGTTCAGGCCGATGTCGAGGCCAAGGTTGACGCAACCGAGTTCCACTCGGAGCTGGCCGGCAAGGCCGATGTGGCCCATGTTGATGACGTCATTGCCGACGCCGTTGGCTCGCTCCGTGCGGCTCTCGATCTCAAGGCCTCGCTTGGCGAGCTCCAGTCCCTGCGGACTGACACCGTTGAGCTGGGTAACCAGCTCGTCTCGTCTACCTCCGAGACGCAGAGCCTCATCACGTCCTCGCTCGACTCGCTCCGCTCCTCGCTCGACTCGATTGAGTCGCGGCTCGTCCGCAAGGCCGATGGCTCCGACCTCGAGCAGGCCGTTGCACGGACAGCGGCCAAGACCGAAGTCGCCGACCTCGCAGCAGGCCTCCGCTCACTCGAATCGGCACTCGCTCGCAAGGCTGACGCCAGCGAGACCAAGTCGGCGCTGGCGGCCAAGGTAGACCAGGCCCAGCTTGCTGCTGCACTCGATCCGCTGCCGACCCACGCTCAACTCCTCGATGGGCTCAACGCCAAGGTCGACCACGACGAGCTTGCCGCGCTCAAGGCCTTTGTCTCCGAGACAAAGCTCGACCGCAACGAGTGGCTGATGGAGAAGCAGGCTGCCGGAGGCAGCGGTCACTCGGCTCTCGCCCGCGATCCGCCGTCGTCGACCTCCCGCTACTCGGTCCTCCGCGAGCACCATCCCAACATTCCAGAGCGGTCAACGGCGTCGATGCTTGCCTCGGCCGGCCGTGCCCACTCCTCGCGCGCCGCCACCAAGCCACACACATCGAAGCTCTCACTGGGAGTCACGCCGCTCGTCGACGCCCGCACTTCGGCCCTTGGCCGCTCGCAGGCCGCCCATCAGGCCATGGCTGCCGGCGGCGGTGGGGAGCCGTCGTCCGAACTCCTCATCCACACCTCCCACAGACTCCAGCGGCTCCGCGGCGGCGCCGGCAGTCTGGCATCGTCGCCACGCTCCAGCAGTCGCCCGTTTGCCGGCCTCGCCACGCCGTCGACTACCGCCAACGACTCTTCGTATGCCTACATCCTCTCATCCGGCGAGGCCCGCCGCGACGCTGCTCCGGTCGACGGCGACACGCCACCGGGACAGCTCGACTCGTCGAACTTGGCGGTCTCGCAGAGCATGCGCCGCGACTTGCTCGCCTAGTACCCTTTCTAAAACCTCATGTTTACAGCCCCTCACCCGAGCACCAGCGCGCAGCCGTCGCAGACCCGGATGCGGTCCGGCGCGTCGCGGATGATGGGCAACCGGTCGTGGCAGCATGTCGAGCAAAAGACCTCGCCACAGACCCGGCAGTGGTGCCTGCGCTTGAAAAAGGTAAAGCCGTCATGGCAGCCAAAGCAACTCGGCCGCTCCGAGTCCGAAACCCACCGCGGCCGCTTGCTCAGCTCGTCGGAGAGCTCTTGGACGCGCGCGTTGAGCGCCGCGACCTCTGCAGCGTGGGCCTCGTCGGCTGCCAGCCGCGCCGACCGCGCCGCAGCGAGGTCTTCATGCAAGTCCTGGACCTGCGACTCGAGCTTGGCAATGGCCACCATCGATTGCGCCGGAGACGGCGGGATGAGCGACGACGGCGTGAGGCCACCAGGCGTCCGTCCGATCATGCTCCCACCGTCCGGGCCCGCCAACTCGCTCCGTAAGAGGCCGTCGCCGGCGCCAGCGCCGCCTACGCCCGACGAAGCCGCGGCAGCACCCGCCCCCACACCTGCACCCTCATCCGCCCCCACGCCAGCACTGCCGCTCGCCTCGGTTCCGTGCGAGAGCTTGTACGATGACGCCAGAAGGTCGGTGAGGCGGAAGAAGAGGAAGCCGTCCTGGACAGCCTTGTCTTCGTCGGCGACGTGGACGACAAAACCCGCCTCGACAAGACGCTGCAGCAAGGTCACCGCAAACGCACGGGTCATTTGACCCGAGCACAGCAGCGGCGACGGATCGCCGCGAGCCGCCGCCGCCGCCGCACGATCAGACTCGGCGCCGTAGTGCGCGACAACCCAGTCGACGGCCTCGGAAGCGACAAAGCACTCGTCGTACGACTTGAGATGGTAGCTCCGCGACTTGACCTCGATGCCGCCAACCAGGGCCATGCACAGCTCCTGCAGCTGCTCGCCATCGAGCGTCTGGATCTCGCGGGCAAGCGGCGAGAGCTCGTGGACCGAGCGCGACTTTGCAGCCGTAAGAGCGTTGATCCAGGCCTTGCGCGATGCGTCCTTGTTTGCCCGCAGGTGGTAGGTCCGACCCGGAGTGACGATGTCGAAATAAAAGAACGGATCCATGCGCCAGGAGACCTCTTCCACAGAGTAGTTTTCCGACAGCACAATGGTGCCTGACGGCTCGCTCTTCTCGTCCTTGGCATACGTCAGGACGTTGTCCACCAGCGAGAAGTACCGCACCTTCCACGCAGACAGCCGGTGCGGGCCCTTTTCTCCAGCAGTCCTGACACGGTGGTGGCCATGGTATATGTGTGCGGGGGCGTGAGTGGTGAGAGGTGGCTTGCTTTGCCCCTCGACTCGGCTGGCGTGCGAGTTGCCTTTTCGGCATGCGCTGATTGCGCCACTGCGCGTCGACCACAGCGAGTGCTCGTTATTAGACAGCGATCGCAGACGACTACGGACGATGTGTGGAGAGAACGAGTGGTGGGTGGCCTGGGCTGGCTGAAGTTGGCTGAGCATGGATGACTGGACGGTGGACGCGCGTGTGCGTGTGTCGAAGAGTGGCTCGATCCTAGGCTGGCTGATCTTGGTCGGCTGAAGCATCAAGGAGGAGGGCGGCAACATCAAAGTGCTCGGCATCGGTGGCAGCGGCTGCAGCGGCGAGAACGATGGCAATGTAGCCTGGGCCATCGATCCGGGGAAGCAGCGCAGCTACGACGTCAGAGTGGCCGTTAAGCGCGGCCTCTGTGAGCGCCTCGCCCCACACAGGCGACACTGGTCCAGGCAAAGGGCAATCGTCTCTGGCCAACAGTGCGGCAATGGTGCGATCGGCGCCATGTGCTGCCGCCATCATCAGCGCCTGCTCCACCACTCGTTTGACATCCAAGGCAGACCGTGTCGCGGCGGCAGCAGTAACAGCCTCCACAACCTCTGCGGCATCAGCTGCAGCTGCAGCCCGAAGTGCTACCAGGTGCACCGGAGTGAGATGACTCTGTCCATCTGAAGCAAGTAGCGCACTCACAAAGGTGGCCAGGCCGGCTCGTGCCCCATCAACCACGAGAGCATCCCAATCGCAGCCGATCCACGCCCCACCGTCCACCATCTCAGCCAGCACGCCATCGATCCACGCTAGCACATCTTTGGGCACGGCGCCTCCGCCAGCTGCGTCGACCAGGGCACGGGCAACATCGTCGGACGGTACATCCGAGTCGCCGGCTAGCTGGCACCACGCCCGCCGTGCTGCGGCCCACTCGTGCTCAGCCAGGCACCATCTCAGCCCCATCCCCGCTCGTGCAGCCGCGCGTCCCACCGGAGAGCCGAGGAGCACAGCGTGGACGCCCCTGCACGTCCTCGCCAGCGCCACCACATCTCGCGGCTCCAGGACGCCGACATCGTAGGCCAACGCATAGATGAGCTCCACTGGCAGCCACGAGCCTCCGATCACAGCCATGCCCTTTTCCAGACGCTGCCACGTCGTGTAGAGGTGAGGTGTAGCCGTCTCTGGTCGACCAAGGCTGCTCATGCTTTCCTCGACCAGATCTGCTGCACTTGAGAAGGCCAGACGCAATGGTCGTGACTTACGCCGTCTCCCCCCAACTCAAACAGTAGGGCTGGGCTCGGTGTATGCAGTCCGCGGCCCGTGATCAACTCAGTAGCTCGTCCGCGGTATCGATCGTGCCGCCCCCCCTCTGCGCGAGTTGGCGCGAGTTGGCGCGAGTTGGTACGAGTTGGCGGTCACGGCGGCAGTAGTGGAGGCAGCGCCGGAAGCAAGAGCTGCGACAGCGGTGAGCGAGGCAGACACAACTCCAAGCCCTGCAGTAACGGAGGACACCAACATGAGCATATGGTTGGTGTTGGAGCAGTGGGAGGCATGGGCTCGGTCGGGAGGCTCGTTCAGTTGGGAGTCTGACGCGGTGGCCCTGCTGTGGCAGTACGACCACATCTACGTCGCTGCCGCCATCGCCTACATCCCGGTTGTTTTTGGTCTGCAGGCGTACATGGCCGATCGCCCACCGCTCTCTCTCAAGCCGCTGCTTATTATGTGGAACTTTGTCCTCGCTATCTTCTCCATCGTCGCTGCGGTCCAGCTCATCCCCATCCTCCTCATGCTGGTACGCCTCCCTGCATCTCTCCCCCCCCTCGCTCATCTCTCACCATATGATGATACGCACTCACTCTTTCCCCCTTACCTCTGCTCCAGCTTCTTCGCGATGGCTTCCTTAACTCGGTGTGTGAGACGGCGCACTACGATCTGCCGTCGTCGTGGTGGGTCTACCTCTTCGGCCTCTCCAAGATTGCCGAGTTTGTGGACACCATCCTGCTTGCGCTACGGAAGAAGCCGATCATCTTGCTACACTGGTACCACCACATCTGCACCCACCTATTTACCTGGCTGTGGCAGGTGACGACGTACAAGACTAACGGGTCCGGCTACTGGTTTGCCACCATGAACGTCGCCGTCCACTCGTTCATGTACACATACTACGGCCTCACCGCCATGGGCCACTACCGGACCATGGCCAAGCTCAAGCTCAACATGGTTCTCACCCTCACTCAGCTGACCCAGATGGTCATGGGTATTGTGGTTCTGTTTGCCATGCGCTCCTGTCCGTCGGTCCAGCCGTGGTCGTTCTACATCGGCCTTGGGATGTACTTTTCTTACTTTCTTCTCTTTGCCAAGCTCTTCCTCGACAAGTACATCTCGCCGCCGCCTAAGCGCTCGCTCCGCAGAGCCTCGCAGGAGACCCAAGACCCTATCGTGCTTGCTGCCTCTCCGACCTCGCCCATCGCCCGCATCAAGACCGACTAACCGGCTATCGCGCACCGGCGGCCTCCCCCCTGTCTTCTTTCCTGGGCCAATAATAATCACATTCCCCGCCAATGCCCCCCCCCCCCCCCCCCCCCGCCCCTCTCGCGCCGATCCGCAACTCATGATCGTCCCCACACTAGCAGCTCAAGTCAGCCATGTCCACGCCATCATGCCTTACATTGAGGCCAATCAATCAGTGAGCAAAATGTGACCAAGAGACGGCAGGCAACCCCACCGCCAAGTCCCAGCTAGCACTCGCCCTTGCCCTCCCGACTGCTACAGACTGCCGTACTCTTCTCCTCCCCCCCCCCCA